TCTAATGTCCTACACATGTTGTTCATGGCTCAACATTCCAGACTCAAATAATACATTTCCACAAAGCAGACGCTCCGTTTCACACAGGTCAATTATTTCAGACTTCACTGCACAAAAACAATAGACCCAGGTCAATCGTGGGATGTAGATAACCTTTCCAATTCAGGCAAGGTTAACGCCAGGGGTACTGACTTGATGAGTTCAATCATCTTTTTGGCAAGAATTTTTTAAGACATGAAAATTGAACCGGCTTTGCGAACCCAAATGCAACCTGTCTACAGTACAGCCGTATGCTGTGGCGATCCCTATACACTCAATTACCCCCCAGATGGTGCACCATGGTATACTTTCTTAGAATGTTGCCATTTTGATAACACATTACAATGGGTTTGTCGATTAAGTGAACGGGGAAGAATTGACTGCGACTGAAGTTTAGTTAAGGTCTTTGTGAGCAAACTAAAATTAATACTTGGCATTTTAACAGATGGGATATGCATCATCGATATATTGGTTTACAATTTAGTGAATACGCGATCGTGCCTTATGTCCTGCCTTTTCAAAAACTGGGTGCGTTTAGACTACTTAAGTGATCATCGATGCTATAAAAAATCATTCTATGGAAGACACTTCGACGGGAGCTTTTAAATTTTATGATCCAACGGGCAATTTTGTTTCTCGAGACTCCTAATTTGTCGACGCGGTCCCTTAATTCTCGTAGTAAAAAACAGCTGGCAAAAGGTCAAGTCGTAAGGTCACCGCGTGTCTAGAAGCAGTGCCCCCTGGGAGCATAAGAACACTCGGCGTTAATTTGTGGATGTCTTGGGGTAGCCATGGAAAAGAACAAACACACATTGTACTGACTGCAAACCGCACTTTCTCTCAATGAGATGTCACGTGTGTCGTTCTGCTATAGATCATGCAGTCGCGAATCTTTTTTTGGCCATGTCTGACTCAATTACACGTACAGTCTGCAGATACAATATTTGTATATAGTCACGAATGCCACCGTTGCTTTCTCCTTATTTACTTTAAATTCTATTCCTAATAGCACTACCAGGCTGATATGGTTAATACTCACTACATCTGTATTGTGATATGACAATGCCCAATTGATAAAGCAGATGTGTCACATTACCACATACACCCATATTATTGAAACCGAGTCAATCACAAGTCAGTCGCAAGTCATTTAAAAAAACGGTCACAATTTATTAACAGAGGATGAGAAAGGAATACCTTTGTTTCAGTTCGTGTACTTGAATAACATGTCGCTAGAATTAAAACTGGATGAATTGACTTTTGTTGACTTTGCACGTTGAGAGTTACTCAATTACAACTCAGCATACAACCTCTGAATAGGGTAGATCGAACACGTTTTGAATGGTATGAAATAAGTACGAGCATCCTGAATGAAAGTGTAGCAATAAGTGTAGCCAGGTCAACTTACTTTTGAACAAAATAAAGACTCACTTTCATTTCGACAAATTTCTCAAAATTTTTCATTTCAATCACTTCCGATTTTTAATTTTATTTTCAGGGGTTTGATAAATACTGAAAAACATAAACCGAACACTCGATCGTCCCATGGCCTAATCACTGTAAAAAGAAAATCACAGTCATAATCAGTACCACATTACTGTCTTAAAATGTCACCAAATCATATCGACATGTTTCACATTTTGTTCTGTTTAAAACGCCGCCAGACATTCTCGGCATACATTATGTTTTAACGGCTGGCGGGACCAGTCCTGTGGTCAGTGGCTGGGGGTTAGTTCACGTGCCCAAATTTGGTCAACGGATCTGGCGGTGACTTTACCCTATACGGTCAGCCAGCCGAGTGCAAACCAACTCGTGCGGAGTACAATTTCATTTCGACATCGGCAACTTCTTTTGAAACAAGAGCTCATATCAGATTTGATTTCAAGTATTTGGGTTGTGTTTTGGTTTCGCTGTTGACATATTTACTTGATGGTCAAAACAGCGACATATTTGAGAGTGATCAAGGAAAACATTTTGGGTTTTCGTTTAATCCCATATGACGAAAAAATCTCCCGAAAGTATGTTAAATACGCAACTGTTGATCAAAACATTCACGAGTCATATTTACTCAGACGAAGGGGAAAAAGTGGAGAAAGCAAAGCAAAGGAGATAAAATGGTGATATTTTTTGTGGTTTTCAATAGAAATAATCGCATCATGGTACAAAGGTGAACCATTCTGTTTATTTTCTGACTCGTTGAATGGCGTTCGTCACCAAAAATATTTTATCTAAAAATGTGGAATATTTCATTTTTCAGAGTCATTGAATGTTTCTAACTTAAATTTCCACAACATGGGGAACTTCGTGCATAGTTGGATGTGTCACTATTAATCGTGAAAGGAGGCCAGCTTCTACTCTAGAACTCAATTAAGACATGTGACAGAAGCAGGAATAATATTTGTGCATTTTAACAATATTTATGTGCCCCTCAGTATGCCCAAGTTCGCCAACTTTGGATAAAATTGACATGAAGTCGGACCAGCTCTGTCAACGTTTTCTTCCCCGTTTGGCAATGTCCTAAGGGCTAGGAAATAATTAAGAAAACATTGCATAAATAATCTCTTGATAGTCAACCCCTAAGTTATTATTCAGTGAACACAGTTTTGTTTCATCTTCTTCCCTAGCTTATGATTAAAAGAAAGTTCTACGTTGATTGGTTTTAGGTTCAACATTATGGCGTTTCTGTCTGTTTCACAAGAATGCACAAATAGGGAGGCGGAAAAAAACGTTTTCAAACTAAAGATTTGTCTGCTTGTCAAGTAATAGTTCGGACCTGCAAATGGTAGTTTGAAGTACCCTGATACCGCAAACAGCCGTTCAACCGATGCTATTTTTATACATGCGTAGGCACGTTTATGTTCGCGTGGTTCGCCCGCTCCGTGTCGCGTGGGAGAATTTTAGTAAGCGTGAAATGAGCCTGAGAAGAAAACGAAAGTATACCCGTTCCAAATTAAAAAGAACCGCAAATAGGTTCCCACGCACTGCTGCCAGGAGCCTTTTCAACCCGGAAACGTCAAGGCACAGTGAAGCACTAATAAGGCAAAAAAATTCCCCTAAAACGATGTCATTCAGGCTGTACTTGTATAACTTGCCACTCAGGTTGACAAAAAGACCCGACAAGCCTAGCAAAGTTGATCCCAGACCAATTTGGTTAAGTGACAGTCAGTCAGTGAGACGAGTACAATAAAGAGGACACTATATGTCCCCAAAACAGTGTCCATCTGACCATGGAGGTAGTCTGACTATGTTTGAAATAACTACAAAGCCATGAAGTCAATTTTGGAATGTTTTCATTGTGCAAATACTCCTATATATTTGTCTATACCAAAACCCCTATGAGTATGAGTTTCATTTAATTTTAGTCACGCATCACTGCATAATTTTCCAGTGAGCACAACAACATTTTTGACACTGTGACCAAGTTCCACGCCTTTATCAATTTCAGTGCTGTGTAGATTAAACCTGTGTGAAAACATGCATGTTGTGGGGAAAAAAGGCTGATGTGGTTTGGGGTTGAAATCATTTGCCCTTGAGTATTAAACTGAGGTCTTGGCATGATGACTGATAGCCAGGCAAATGATTCCAATCCCAACCACAGCCCTTTTCACAACATGCAGGATTTTACACAGCTTACAATACATAACACACAATGTCCAAAACTTAGACAATTATGTAGTGATGCGTGACTGAATTAAATGGTTTAAGCCAAGGATAAGGAGTATCTGCACAGTCAAAAAAAAATTCAAAATGGACTTCACATTTTTGGGACATACTGTACAGGCTGGCCCTCTGGGACCAGCACAAACCAGAAAGTGGGAGAGGGCGAGTATACCCTTTTAATTACGTAAGTTGGATTCCCAAGTTGTGGTGAATAAAGAATCTAACCATTTCGAAGCCGACAACAAAACGCGTCGCTCATTTCAAAGTCATCACGCCCTTAATTCAGACTAATAGACTGGTGCCTCGTGGAAAAACAGTACCCGCAATTTTACGCTATTTATACTTTTCTCCTTTGGAATTATAGTTAAACGGAGAAAAAAAAATTAACCCGCTTTCAAATCCATTGGAGTATTATAATTTCCGGGTACATTACAACTAATCCTTTGTGACTTAATCGTGAGGTGTGCAGTGGTAAATCATAGGAATTGGTGTGTAATGCGGCTAGAAACCTGCGGTTTTCAGGATTACCGCACCACTACTTAACATACAATACAGCGGGCTACTGTCAGATAACACATTATCGTATTCCACATCTCAGGCGAGAGTTGAGGCTCCCTGCGTGACAGGTTGAACCTGTTTTCCATCTAAAATTTTTACTTGCTAAAATGATAAGCCAGTCGATTGTCCTCTTATTGATATTGTACACCGTATTTCACAACGCGCCCCCGGGAAAGCACAATCATTATCTGAACCCCTGGCGTGAAGACATACAAAGCAGTTGACGGGTTGTATCATGGTGGAATCATGACAGTAGTTTTGCACTTATTAAGTTGGATCATTGGATGAACCATGGAGGTAGAATGTACCATGCACCAATGCTATGAAAGACCCTTACCGCTAATACTTGTATTGTGAATGGAATTTTGTACTGATTGGGATGTTTATCAGGATATGAGGTTCATTGAAGTTCAAACGTGCTTACAACATAAAATCTGAAAGGAAAGAAATTTGTACAACCAATGGGGGAAGAAATCCATTAGGTTCGAACGCCAACATAAAACATTTCAAGTTATAATGTAAGAGCCACTTGAGCTGAGCCGAGTTCAAAAGGTAACAGGTTCAAGTCATCCAGTCTGACGACCAGTCTCTAGCTATTCAAACAAACTGTGACAATTTCTCATTGTTCATCCCCGGTTTTAATACCTTTGCCCCGACTTGTAAAATTTGAGTCAGTTACAAGTCGAATCACAACTATGCACACAATGGACAGTTGACACAAGAAATCAGAGAAAGATGGAACATAGTTTTTTTTCTCTCTTTTATTCCTTCCCTTTTAATGCAAATACTTCAGTCGTCAGAGCAGACATGCAGGTGCGATCCAATACACATTCACCGATATATTATTATCTTTATATATAAATAACTGACTTATAGAATCATTTATACTAATACATTTTACTTGAAAAGTTAGCTAAATGCATTCGATTAATCCAACCGTGAGGAGCAATGTATTCCAAAAGTGACAATAGAGATGAGAATGCTGAATGGTGGATGTGTTCAGTTCATTAATTAATGCTTATGTAATGTTTACATCAATGGTGACACTTAATGTTAATTTAAAAAAGTCTTTGCCAATTATTAATATTAGACATTAACATTAACCAATCCTTTGAAATTGATTAAATTCCTTTTAAAAAATCACAGATTCTACAATATACCTGAAAGCTGTATTCAAGTAAGAGCTACGTTACAAACTGAGCTCAATCATTACAGATATAAAGAGATATTTGAGAGAGAATACAAATTACAATGGCCCACTGCTACTAATTGTTATAGGCTACATAAACCGAATTACAAGCAAAACATTTCAGTTCATCTCGCATAAATGTAACATACGTAATCTAAGTTTATAATACATGTACTTCGCCGCATACATGCATTAATGGAGTACTTTCTAGATTTGCATTACCGACCACCTCCTTCGAAGTTTTAGAGTTTTGCGGATTTAAAATAATGCACGCACATAAATTATTTTCATCCGTGTGCACTCTCCATATTTTGGAAGGCAGGAACTAGTCATTTTCTCACGTTTACGCGGACAGTGATTCCACTAGCCTTCTTGTCTGGTTCCAAGTACATTGGATGTACACGCTGTTGACAACCGTAACAACAAAGGGGAAACCAGACTGAACCTTGAGTCTGCGCACAACGCAGAGGTCAATGTAGGGCCACGGGAATCTCATCTACAAACGTGACCTTACATGGACAACGTTAACTACGCCAAGGCCTTGGGCAGGATAGGTGATAAAATGGCCTGATGCTCCCTTGTACAACGGAGAACAAAATTGTGGTACACTTCCAAGGTCTCAACTAAGATCAATTAAATCAAAGTATTGACCTGTGGTTTTAGTTGGTTACACAATATTATGTTTCAATTGCAACCATTATATCAGACAGGGAAATGCAATCAGTTCATTGAATAACACGTACCGTTTCGATGGAAAGTTGGGAGATGTTCGAAAAGTGATGTAATTTTGAACTAAACGAATGCTCCAAATCTAGACTGCCCGCCCAATTTGAAGATGATAGGCGCCAAAAACTTTACATGAATGCCCCACGAAAGACTCGTATTAAAAGTCATTTTGTGAATAGAAGTAGGGTTCATAAAAAAATTATACAAACATGATGTGAGGTGAACACTATCGAAAACCAACTCCCACACATTTCAACCAAATCGCTAGTAAAATTTGAGAATTGTAATGTTTATTCAACGTGTTATGCTGTTCGTTTTTTACTTCCAAAAATATCAATCTTGGTTTGAAATCTTGAGCCTGAGCTGAGAAAAATGTAATCGACAAAACTATTCTGTACAATTTTAGCTATACACATGCTTGAACTTTTGCACGAAGTCGAATTGCTTAAGTGCACTATATTGATTATTGGAATGTTGCTGATTTGAAAAAGAATAACTTATTTATATTATAATTAAATTAACTACAATTATTTTATCTGGTACAAACTTTCAATCTCTTTCGCTTCTGACAAATAACTTACTATACATACATATAATACAGTGTATTTACAGACATCACAAAAGTTTCCAAAGTTCACAGAATGTTTTCAAAGGGGTACGTTTCATGCACGTATCACACGCTTTAGACTGCCTTTATCTTTTGAAAGAATACTGAGATTTGGAACACCTGTTTTGTTTGCTTACCGTCAATCATGTGAAATCAGTCTATTGTGAGAAAAAAAGACATCCCATGACCCACGCAATCGATCTGCTAAAGTTGCAGCCCAAAACAGACAACAGGTACAACTATGTACCACCCACCCCCCTTTCCCCACAGCAAATAATGAGTTCTGTCGCGTCTGTGGTTTTTCTCGTATCTGTGAACTCGGCCCACCACTTTCAAACACTCCGTTCGCGGGAAAAAAAGGCGGGAAACTTTGTTGGCACTTTGCCCACTACCGCGCGACTTCAAAGGATGCGTGGAGCGCAGGTAGGCCTGGACGTATTATTTTGTTGGCTCTGAGCCAGAGAGTTATTTCCAATGACCCGTCGACCTGTTGTTTTCGGGAACACTGGGGCTGTCAATGAAACCATGAGAGCCGGTCCAGATTTACTTCTCAAGGTAAACCGGACTGGGAATTGAGGGGGGAAGCCTAGCCCAAGCTCCCCGGGACCGAACCGCGTCTCCTTCTTTCTCCCCAGATGGGATAAACAAGGTCACGTGCAAGTTTACAGGTAAGAAAATACTTCTCCCGGTGAATGGATGAATGCCCGCAGCGGCGTCTCGGTACGGTTCCAACTGCAAGATGACCCTTGACCCTTAGTATCGGAGACCTTTGACCTTCCTGGGGGTGTGGCCGTCCTGTGTGTTGTTGCACTTGCCCAAATCTGTTGATATAGAACGAAAAGAAAATCATAAACCGTTGTGAAATTAAGTCTAATTTTAAGGAAGGTTAGAATTGGAATCATCCCTTATGACGAAACAGATTTCAAACACTTTTTCTTTCACTGATTGAAACCGGTATAATTGTACCTGACAAATACACTGAGTTTTCATTGGTGGTTAAGCGTGAAACCTCAAGAATTTGACACATGATGTACTTGCCAAAGATAACTGTCATTCGTGTTATCAGCTTTGAAGATACGTGTGAACTAATGCAGTGCGATTTCCAATGCATTCAGAACGTTGAACCTACATGTACATGACTGTACACACGACCCATCCCACGCGCTATTTGTGAGAAACTGACTGCACATCCAAAGACCCTCTGTGACCGGTATTGTATGCAAAGTGGTCCAGCTGTTTACAGTTATACTGTCAATGACCAATTTTCGTCAATGCAGAAAAGTTCTACGAAAAACGGGTAACATGCACTTTGGTTGAAATGCCATTTCTGCTCTGTCTTTCTATAAACACGTTTTCTAAAGTGAAGTTAAGATGAACGAAATATTGTTGAACAATATTCATCACTCGCATCCTCATCCATGATGGATTCAGTAACCCTTCAATTGCTTGAACGATTTGAATCTAAATGCACCCATGCAAATTTGCATTGGGTACACAATTCGTGGTTGAAAAGGTGTTTACGTTGTAAATACAGGTAGCCGAGCCGTTGATATGATAAAATGGACGTTTAATATTACGTGATAAAACTTGCCACTTGTCCAGATTGATCACGAAAACTGAGTTAAGGTAATACACAACATTTGCTTTTGCTGTAATTTCAGAATTGGATGGATTTGGGGAATAGTATTTCATAGTAAATGTTGTTACACTGACATGTTTAAACTGTTTTATTCATAGATGGAAAAACCAAGGAAACCAATTATGCTCATGTAATCTGGTTCCCTGACCCTACGGAGCAATTCATAGACGTATAGGAATTGTCAGGTCATGGAACCAGACTGGCTGGCTTGAATCCGTTCACGGATGTGTAACCGATTGCAAACAAAATGTGTACTAAATAACTTGGGGGCAGTATTTTGAAACAAAAATTTGCAGAAATTGATTCAAAAATTCCACTTTTCTTAAAAATGACAGCGTATGTCAACATAATGACAGCATAATGACAGTTGCCATGATTTCACAGGATGCTTGCGACTATTATATATTAAATATATGGTTTTTAATATTTTTGGGGTTGTTTTGTTTTTTGATGTTTGCACGGTTGTCGATCTTGTGTAATAAGAACTTTGAATACACCTGATGCGTAGCAGCCATCTTAGAGGGCGATACAAGTTTGTTTTGCTGGGATATACATGAGTGAACCTTATGTGCATTCATTGTTACTGAATTAAAATAACAAAGATGCCCTCTAGGATGGCCACTACGCAAAAGGTCTATTTTACACTTGAGGGGAAGTTGAGTTAGATGTCCTAAGTTAGGATCCTGGACTTTGCTCGTTTTCGCTGGTATAAATGACAACTATAGTATAGGAAGATTGTACACAACTCCGTGCTGCTCATAAATCCATTTTTGGATCGAATTTCCACTAAAATTGACGGGATTCTGGCAGCGGTCCAAACACAAGGTCCTGTTATGGAACCGTATAAGAACCCGGCCAAAAACAAGGCTGTTGACAATGAATGTCCTTGTAGTTTGGTAACACGTTCAATGACCTCCAACTCCCAACGGGTTCCCTTACAACTCCCACTCAAAAAACGGTGTCAATCGCTGGTGCCCGTGTTTACCAAACAATCCGTCGTACAGGGGAAACTGTCTCACACAATGCGCAGTACTACTACACTGGTCGAATGTTTTATGACTAAACGTTTACAAAGTAAACACGGACGAATACAACTATTACGAAGCGATCAGTTGTGTTTACGCCGCACATAAATAGGGAAGAGTATTATTTGTGTCCCTTACGTGCGCAGAAAAGGGGTCGTATAGAGGAGAGCAAGTTTGTAGTAAACAGGGTCAGGAGGTCAAAAGCTTTGCAAAGTTGTTAGGATTGAACCGGCTGCCAATCAATGTGATTTGACCCAGCAACCGTACATGTCCGCAGAGTAATGTCAATTACATGTGGTACTGTACTACCCTTCACTTCAATTACTCTCAGACGTTTTTGGTAACAAAACATGTTCCAGGCTCAATTGCCGTACTTGAAGTGTTCCATACGCCTGCGATTTGACTGTAGGCCTACAAACAATGCACGCAGAGGAACATAAAGGGATTTCACAAATCCAACGAGTGTTGAAGCATGGTTTTTTTTTTTATTCCTCCATGGTTTGATAAAGAAAAAATTCTGGAAGTGCTCCAATTCTGCGAAAACATATTTAGAGGCTTATTTTTCTTTCAGCATGTTACGGCCTTTCTAAACGAAATTGCGACTAGGGGAAAAAACGAAGAAAAAAAACGTGGGCAAGATGGTGGAACAACATGTCGATGCTTGTTTGTCCAACCAAATCAAGTCTCAACTTGTTCTGGTTGGGTTAGAAGCAAGTTCAGACTTGCAGTCGATGCCCTTGAGTTTCCATTCAGAAAATGAAGTAAGGTTGGGACCCAGCCCAGATTACGAACAAGCCTAAACATGTCCTGATATCTCTGCCACAATTATATCAGGGTTACTTATCTTGGATGACATTTCAATTTTCTATTAAGACAAACCAATGCCAAAAAAATGTCGCTTAAAGGTTATAACAGATCCAACTGATCAAGCCGCTCTTAACCAAATTCATCCGGAGGCAATAATGCAGTTTTGGAATACTGCACGGAAAATTATAAGAACGGGAGTTGTCTAGGCTTTCGATTATGATGTCTTTGTAACACTCAGTTGTTTTATAGTGATTAAGAATTTGTGCAATGATGAACAGTCTACCCTAATATTTGAGACGTGGCACTCTATTGAAATACTTTTACCAATGGTGTTTAAAACATTTTCCATCGACTTAAATCACACTGTTGATGAACAAATTTCACCTGTCTTAGCATATCATGTTGTTACTAATGCGCCGAGAGCTACCTGTTGAAACAACTCTGATACCAACCATAAATTTGGTTTATGTTTTCCAGAGTCCTGTTCATCAGTCAAATTATTAGAACACTTCAGTTTTGCAAGGTTTACAAAAATCAATGTTTGGAGTGCACGATTGTTTTGTAGGATAGGGTCCGAGTGTCATGAAGTATGGTATTTGTAATTATCAAAAGCTGAGAAAGAAGTCCTACCTTCTCAAGTAGTTCTATCATCGAGTCGATTCAGCAATCACGTTCTTTCAGTTTAGAACACCCATGAGCATTTGGGGATTGTTCACTGCAGTCACTCGAAACCCACAACTGGGTTCTAAAAATAGGGTTGTGAACCGACGCTCAGTTCAGGACCGTGTACCCCTGGATATCCAGGGTCCGTGAACCATCTTTGGCACGCGTCTATTATTCAGTAAAGTTCCACACGCACACAATGTTGGGCACCTCATGTGCCACGCCCTTCTTGCCCAGACGATTACACCATGCATGGAAGACTTATTCCTCCGTGATTACAAGGTGTTTATTCTTGAATATCTTGGTATGATTAAATTATAAGGGGAGGAATTCTTGCCAAGTTGTCTTACCGTGTTAGCTGAGACGGGCTATCACGACCGGCCTGTGGTGGGAGACGACACTACCGGGCTACCGGGCCTTTGCCGCCGTCGCTTGGCGGGGACCTGGGGATGCTTCTCCCCGTCGGAGTCGGAGCTGGACACGCTACTAGTTGAACTACTGCTGTCCGACCCGGTCCGTTTGCGCTGTCTCATAAAGTCTGAAACCAAGTAGGCATTGGAACAAAATCAGATATCAATACCATGTGGGCTAAAATTCAATGACAACAGCAATGTTTAATGAAACTTGGTCTTTCATATAGGTACGGTAAAATACAAATGACCTTCAAATGTATTTTTAATATGTTTTTTTTTTGTACAGTCATCTCTCTTCAAGTAAAGTGAACTTTCCCACTTCCCAGTACTGAAAAATTGTACAGTTTCGACTTGGAGTTAAGAATACTAAAATTGATCAACTAGAACATCTACAAAACTTAAAGGCACACGATCATTTGCATTTATCCCATAAGTGAAAACCTACCGAATTATTATGAAAAAAGCGTATGGATTAAATTCGCGGCGGTACTAAACACCCCGTGAAATTATTCCGTCTAGTTTGCTGTCATTTAGAAGAAACTGACCTAAAGTCAATTGACTGATTTTGAGAAACCGAGTGCTATATTATACTAGACGCAATCGTGTTTCGTGATCAAATTCAAAACGTTGTGCATGTTTTTTTCCCACTGTTTTCTCCAAATGCGTAAGATCCACTGAGCTGAAACTTCAACAAGTTATGTTCTGAAAAGTCTTTTTTGGATTTTTAGTGGTGTTATTATTGGAAACGAACATATGCCTTTCACAGACCGAAAGTGATAGGGACTCTGTTATTTGATTTATTACAATATTCAAGTACAATGTGCACATGTATATTTTGGTGAGGTGGTTTGGGTTCGAAAAAGCACTGCTGTCCACACATGGATGGGCTTTGTGTCGATTCGGATGCATTTCATTAAACTATATAGGCCGTAATGGGAAACTGTGAATGACGAGTAATTGGCGAGAGGATACTGATCATTTAAACAGGAACATGTACACAAACTTTTTAGACACGGAAGGAAATCTTTGGTACGCAAAGCACGGAAGGAATGACAATGTAACTTTCACGGAAACTTCGTAGAGTTCTAAAGCAAATCACAGGTGTTTCCCCTGTGTGACAAAAGAGTTGGGAATGTTTTTCCGAATTGCGTAATCTTGTCGAAAATCGTGTCGAAATAGTGGAATGTGGGATTTTTTCTTTTCTTTTCAAGTGGGCCCAAGAAATTTGTTGTGGTTATTTTGACGACAGAGTATAAATCGTCCATTGTGGGAGTTCCATTTAGCGGGCAATTTCACAGTCCCGGAACAAGTTTTAACTTGCCCTGAACGGCATGTATTGATCGCCCAATATAATAGCACTCGTTCGAAGGTTGGCCCGTGAAACCCTTCCTTCACGTGGGCAGGTAGTGGCTAGCCATGGGCTGTCGCATGCACCAAATTTCCCCGCGCAAAGCCCGCGTCCGATGAATGAAGTTGTTTACAACTTTTGCGACCGCCGGGCTGTGGTGGATGCACACAGCGAAACGCCGGTGACAATCCGCTGCTCAAAACAACGCTCAAAACAACACCCAAACTACTGTAGTAGAAAAGACCTTGTGGGCGGTTTTCTGTCTATGGTCGTCTAGTAGTACATGTAGTAGCCACATAGCAGCGAGTTACTGTACTGTAAAGTACGTGGAATCAATTCCAGTATTTGGTGACTTATCGGATGGGAAGTAAAGCTAATGCTCCGTGAAATAACTTTTTTTAAGTAATGAATTTATCAAGGTCTAAACGGTGTTCGACAATTTCAATTATGCTTAATTGTAGTGCAATCAGCACTTGTCAAAACAGTGTGAAGACTTTCAGATCTGAAACTTTTCATGGAACTGTTTGAAACCTTTTCCCCAACAACAATTAAGTCCCGCTTACGTATTTTTTTGGTATGATTTACATAGATCAATATGGCTCCTACGAATTTTTGTAACTCACTTCAGATTCCGTGTTCTGTTTAACCTTGTACTTGTAGTGGTAAAGACCCAATTTGTTCAGGAAAAAAATAACAGTGCCATTATTTCAGTATTATTCTACACAAATGTATACTCCTGGTTGATCTTTGAACCACAAATATTTACTGATACTTCAACGTATAGGACTGCACACAACCATTGGGCAATAGGGGTTTTTTCAACTTGATGCCCCAACCCAAAATAGACAATTGTTACTTTTCTGGCTAGAATATCAAAGAAATCGGCATGTCGAAATAAGGGATTTTTTCCGTACAGACGTGTTGCAACAGGCCACGACAAGTTGGGACTTTCAGGAAACTGGTAAAGATGACACAAACCTATTTTCATTTGAGTAACTGGCCACAAAACCACAGACCACTTCTCAACTGAGTAGTGAAACTTGTACCAACTTGTTTTCATAACACAATAGCTTTGGATTTAAATAGGGTTTTAGATAAGCGCAAGCATGACAAGGCTAGTCGCCTAATGATAGTACTACTGGTTCACCGTTAATCCGTTTGAGATATAACTGGCCCAAATTTAATAGCAAACAACGGTAATTGCCCTCTTAAAAACTACTTGCATTGGTCATGTTGGATGCTTTGGAGTTGTAAAAATTGTTTTGGAAAGATTCTCATATCTGGCCAACACTAATTTTTCCCTTCAGTGACCAATCAGCCATCAGAGAGTGATAATATGTCCCAAAAAGTCAAATTTAGCAGGAAATATATTGAAGTATTTACTGAGAAAGACTTAAAAATTTCCAGACCAGTCTCTTAGGGTTTGTTGTGCACAGGGTGACAAGTGATGGCCAGATATGGCAATCTTCCCATTGTTTTGAACCCATAACAGTATGACTCAGACTTATTTATTAATTTAACTATGTCTTTGTAACATGTTTTATATCTAGAAAAGGTGTGGGGGAAACGACATATCAATGATATGTCGTTTCATTATCACTGTACTAGCAGACACTCACCCGTGATTTGGCTCTGCGTTGCCGATGTTCTGGCGTTGTTCGCAACACACGTACTTCCTTCAGCACTTTCGAAATTATCCCTTGGCTTCGATTCTGAGCCGTTAACAACTTCCAATATTGGTGGAATTTCTTTGGGATGATGGGGAGATGTGCCGGCAGTGGATCTCTGGTTAGCAGGTTGTAAGTCCAGGCCTTTTACCGAAAGGAATGACCTGGAGCTAGCCCCAGTGAGAAGTCCGGAGGGTGCAGCCGGTGCGGCGTTACGGCCGGTGCTGCATGGGGGAGCTGGGTTACTGTGTCCGTTGTTGGAGCTTCGGTGATGGGATGAAGAGGTAAAGAATGCTGGTGTGGGTCTTGAGCTCGGACGGCAAGGCTTTCTCCTCGCTACCGTCTCGTGATAAAACGAAGGCACTCTCTCGTTCGGTACGGCCTCCCAGTCCGTGTATCTGCTGCTGCTGTTACGGTCGGGCAGCGGTTCTCCTCGGTCGAAGTCGAAGCCGTACTCTTTTCTTTCGCCACGTTCGCCTTCCATCTTGACCAGCTCGTCTTGCAAGAAGCGGTTCGTCTCGTCGTGGTCTACCACGAACAACTTGCGGCAGGCCCGTGGCTTAGGCATCCTGGACACGATGGGCGGAGACGGCTGTCTCCGGAACTCCTGGAGCAACAGCGGTGATTCCACCCTTGCCGAGCTCATCCTAAACCGACTTAATCAAGACGACACAATTAGTGCACCTGTAAACGACAGCTGCTTTGACAACAAGCAGGCCAGCAGCAGTGCACAAGCGCAGGTTGGCGTGCACTTGTATAAAAATATACCACGTATAAAGTATAAAAATATACCGCGCTGGTGACTCGAAAGAACCAGAGACACCCACTTTAGATTTGAGAATGACAAGAAATATATTCTGTCCAGAGCCGTGCGTCTTTTACAAGTCACTCCCAGCTCATGCAACTCGTCGTGTCGGCACACTGCACAGAATGAATCAACTCATCTGACAACTAGTATGCCTACTATAAAACGATTGTTATACGCTGCATTCATTCAGTGACTGGCAGCCAGGGCGTAGTACAATAAGGTTGATATGATAATGAGCCCCCACTGCAGCCAGAGTTGTTTACCACGTACGGCCCGGAACGTGATTACCAACAGGCCTCATTCTGATTGGTGGGAGTCGAGCCAAGAAAGGCGGGGCTACAGCGCATAACAAAAGGTGTTGTTCAGAGTGTATGGCCCGGTGGATTTGGAGGAAACAAAGGTCATGCATAATGCATAATACGGCGATAAGCTGGCTGGCGACTGTTTGCTGTAGCTTATTTGCTATGTAGTATCGAGCGAGAATTTCATGTATGTACATGTACATGTACATGTACATGTACATGTACATGTACATGTACATGTACATGTACAGTATTTGGGGAGCTACATTTTTCGAAGACGAGAATTGGAACAGATTTCAAAACGGCTGTTTGCAGTGTAGTATACATATGCACATGTACATGTACATGCATGTTGTGGTGGTACTTGTACATACACACTGTGTATACTATACATGTATAATTTATGTACATGACATATTGGATGGTATGGGGATCGTTATAAAAAGTTGTAGTACGATTGGGATGATAGTGCTCTATGATATTATGTAGCTAAGTTTTTTTGTAGATCAGAATTGGAACAGTTTTCAGACTTATTTTTTTTTTTGGCAGTTACTCTTCAAATTTACTATTAATCGAAAAGGAAAGGTAAGTTATAATAAAAGTTATTCTCAACATTTTTTGATAGGGGAAAATGCTCCTCAAAACACAACACAAGACTGCTTCTTCTTTTAAAATATACAACATTTGCAAACATCAAAAACCAAAACGACCAAATCATTATAATATACCTTACTGGACTGTTAGTGAATCTAAAGCATCCTGTAAAATCATGGCACCTGGACAAGTGTGCTGATTTTTTCAAGAAAAGTGGTGTTTTGTATCAATTTCTAACGCTGGTCGGCCGACCAGCGTTCGTTGGAAAATGGGCCTTTTTGTTTTAAACACTGCCCCAATTTACCAATATTTTAATTAGTCCGCATCTTGTTTGCAATTAATTACAAACCTATGAACGGGTACAAGCCAGCTAGACTGGTTCCCCGACCTTACAATTCATCTAAGTCTATATTAAAATTGCTCCGTTTCATCTTAAGTGTGGTCAGGCCGGAACCGGACTACAAAAATATGATTGTTTTTCTTGGTTTTCCAGTATCTATACAAACACAAACTTCAAACAGTCAGTGTAACGATATTTGCTATAAACTACTAACCCCCCTAATCCATCCATTTCTGAAAAGTACAGAAAAAGCAAATGTTGTATAGTCCCTTAAGTAAGTATGTAAGTCTGTTCTTTTTTAATCAAGAATGGAGATATTCCGAGGGACTCAGTTTTTTTAGTGATTTATCGCTTAAAACTGTTTTCAAAGGGAGAGCACAAATCAAGTGAGGCCATCGATGATCGTAACGAAAAACAAAATTGAAACAGATCCCCAAAGTGCTTAAGACTTTAGAATGCTGTGCCGCTCTACATCTGACTAGAAAAAGTTGTAGATTTTCTTCACACTCCAACAAGTGCACATTTTAACTCACTGTCCCAACATGCATTATCGTTTTTTAACAAACGGTGACAAGTTAAAGGCATTTTACTTACAGTAAACATTTCTCCGTTGAACATTAAATTAGGGTATACCCTCTGATTAGGAAATCTTTGAAAAGAACACAAAGATCGCTACGTGTACTTAATTGCATACATTATTTGTAAAGAGGTTCCAGACGTTGGTATAATTTTGGGTACCTGGCAAAAATATCCCGGCCAGATCAATGTTGAAAGGTCCCACCACATTACCACAAGTAGATGACGTCTCTGTAGTACCTTGCCATAAATTTTCTTGTCCAACAATTCCACATTTGCATATTCCCCAAAGCACTGAAATGGAAAGGCTAGGGGGACGGGACCAAGGCATAAAATCTCAGCAATCAACGTAGAGGTTGGGACCACACAGAGTTGTTTTTGATAGCAAGTTCGTAGTTTTAGTTTCATGGATAAATTTACATTTAACACGCCTCGATGTACTTTTACAATGAACATCTATAATTGTACATATCTCATGCATGTACATGTACTGTACATGTACATGTACATGTACATGTACATGTACATGTACATGTACATGTACATGTACATGTACATTGTACATGTACTGTACTTAAGTGCACGGTGTGATGCGGTCCTCTTGTGTCACGAGAGGGCGCTCAACATGTTTGTAACCAAACTAACCGCCCAAGTGCAAGCGAAGCCGTGCAACCCGCCCGGCTCATACATATTTTTTTTGTCAGTGTTATCAATTAAGAAGTAGTGTTTTATTTGGGGTTTTTTTTTCCACGAAATAAAAATGTATTGAATCAGACTTCATATGGTTTATTATTCTGTTATGCATGCTGTTCACTCAATATAGCTGACCCTTGTCAACACTGCACTAGGTGGGCCAATAAAACCAAACTTGATGTAATTGTTTACACACATGCAGTGTTTGACTTTAGTCTGGATCACTTCTAGTTAATGTAACACTGACAGGGAGTACTGTAATATGTTTAGAGTCACGGAGTGTACGATCAATTCAAAATACAGTACAGTCGTTATTTATCGATACTACCCAAGACTACGCAATGCAGACTTTATTGTGTCAGAAAAGGCAATTAGTGAACCTCGACATCGATTATCTGTGCCTAGTTCCCGAGAAATTAGAGAGACATTGCAATTCCCCCTCTTTTTTGAGTATATGCCCTTCAAAATAATAAATCGTTTCTCAAGAGCCTACTGTTTTTTATCGGTATATCGTGGCGTGCAGTGAACAATGCCGCACTTTTTTTTTATCAATGTGCTTGACAATTTTAGCTGAGTATAATATTAAACGCATTTCACAAGCCCCAAATGTTATAATCCAGTACATAACTTGTTTTTGTGAACCGTGACCGGATATGCTTGCCCTTTTAATGCATGCTTTGATAACCTTTCTTTTGAAAGAGGCTCAAACGTAGTTTATTTTTGGAATAGCACCATTCTACAGGCCTATTGGGCGTTTCATTAAGACTGTCATTTAATTTTATAGTTTTTTATATAAGGTTTCCGTGGCATTGAATAGTTTTATCTCTTCGTGTCTCACGCGTAACTCGTTTTATGGAAAATAATACTGTTGGGGAGTCATCACACTATGTCACGCCACAGCACCAGCTCCAAAACCAGAGATCGGCTGATTTGACAAGCCTGGATGTCTCCCCGACGCCAAGAGGACGTAACAAGGCGTTACCCAATGATTGTTTGTTATGTCCCGTGTTAATTGTCACTCCGGCTCGCTCGGTGTCCTTGCGATGAGGACAAGGATGTCCTATACCGTCTGGCCGCATCGATCCACCCGTGGATCTAGCCTTCGAGGTCGCGGTGCCAATCCCAAACAATCCCTGAGAGTCCGGTTTGTGTACACTCAGTCTGGGTCTGGGCTGGTCAGCTGGCCTCTATTGTCCGGCGATTTTACTCTCAAGTGGTCAATGATTCTAATCGAAATGACCTTGGGGTCACCTGCGTTTCCTTGTTGCGGCTCAATACTAGGCACGTATACATGTACAGCCCTTGTCTGTACCTCATCATAGGGTCTGTGCTAACGCACGTCATCAGATGATCTACAACCACTTACAATTGTAGAAAATCTTTAATGATTTATGCTCATTTCTCATTTTACCATCATCTAGTGTAAAAAAAAAGTTTGGAAGTTGTTGCAAAAGTACACTAGTAGAATTCGATCAGTTTGCAAACGCAGCTGAAGACACTCAGACAAGACGGACGTCTGTCCTCATCATTCACCCGAAGGGTTTGGGTTCGGCGTCGGATATTGCAATTAAATAACAGCCCCTTGCAATGCTTGGGGCAACAATTAAAAGTTCGTGAAAAACAACTTTTGTCAACTTATACTTCAACCACACTGTAGATCGATGAATAGCATGCAGAGCTTTAAATTTAACGGAGTCAGGCCACTATGTCAAACACAATGTAGGCCTATACGTGTAGGCCTATTATGACACCGATTTACACCATCGGGAAAAAGGGTTTATGCAACAAGGTTTTAGAGTAGATGTACTCTAAGTTATACCTTTCCTGTTTGAATTATGTTGTGTTATTATACAGAACAGAGGAAAAGTACACTTTCGCAAAAATGAAAAATTCCATTTTTTCGTTTTAATTCAATATTAAACACTCAGTGTAACGACAAATATATATATTCTGGGTAGTTTCAGCATAGCGGAATAAGGTTTCAGTTACCGTACGTCATACATATTTATTTACGAGCGAGAGCCTAATCTAACTGGTCAATTCACTAGCTCGTGTCAACCGACCTTTTTATTTTGTACCCGAGCGCGCAGTCGCTAAGCCACATGCGCGGGAAAAACCACATGCGCATCAGCCTCGACTCCAAAGGCGCGTGCGCGTTCCTTCACTTGAGATCGCGCAAGGCATGATGGGAAAAAACATGACGCAACAAGATACCCATGCGAACGAGGTTGCATGCGCATGCACTTGACTATCACACGGCTTACCAGCGTAATAGTACACTGCGCTTGCGTACTAGTGAACACCACCCGCCTTGAAATAGTCTACTGCGCTTGCGTATTACGGATCAAGCTCAGAAGTATACCGCACGGGATAGTGCGCACGCGCGAACATCGTCCTAGCTACGTGAAAATATGGCGGCAGCTTGTACGGAAACGTTTTGGCGATATACATGTATCTGATGCGTAACTCGACGAAATTGTTGAATATGTATGAGGTATAGTAAAACAAATATAACATGGTATATGCCATTGTCAATTTCCAATACCTCGGGGAGCTTTATCGACTATAGGCCTAGATTAAATTTAAAAAAAAGGCAACCAATTATGCCTATCAAAACGAAAAAAAATCAACATTATTCAGGACACTGTCACTGGTTAAAATAAACACCGAACTATAGAAAGTTTGATGAGTTACCAAGATAAAATTCTGTTACTTTAATAAAGAAAAAACTATAAAGTTTTCTCCGTAAAAAAAAACAAAAGCAAAAGTATGAGTAATTGCTTCACAAAGGACCTCTGTCGGTAAAAGTGCATTCATGTCAAATGTCAGGTGTTGACTTTTAACTCCTCCTTCAAATATTGATCCAACCTTTCTTTGAAAAAAATCCTGCCTGTGCATGATATCAATATTGGAACGTCAGTGATTTATAGGTTTTTTTCGCACATTTTAAAACTGTTTCCGTTCAAATTCATAAAACGGTTAACTTCATATTCGTCTCGAAAATCCATGACCTATCTATATTTACCATGTTCAATTTCGTCTTTGGTCTCTCATTTTCGCACTTTGTTCAAACAATTTCGTAAATTAGCCATACTTTGTCGTAAAAGACAATTCAACTTCTTTGTCCGCAATTGCATAACGTACGATATAGATGAAGCAATTTCGTCATTTTGCAATCAATGTTATATATATTTCATTTAAATTCGTCACATGATTGTATGCTATCTTTGGTATTTTACGTTTTCATCTGTTCATTTCTACTTTAAACATATTTATTTTATTTGTGTGTGTCTGTCCAGTATTTTCCTTGTTTAACGTAGTGGGCCGAAATAAGCATTTTTCCTGTGTATTAATATGCAAAATGATATCTTTTTCAATACTATTTTGTGTATCCGTTTAGTTCTTCGACAACTTTGCGCCAACAACTGAAAGAAATAAGGTCTATACACAGGCAAATGAAAATGTATTCTTTCCATTTCATGCAAGAAATAAGTAGGCCTATACTTATGAAAAGCAATATGTATTCATATTTTCACATCTTTCAGAATAGTTAGAGTAGGCCGACAGAAGCTTGTTTACAAAGATCTTTACAGCCAGACCATGGGATGAATTTGATCGAAACATTATTGAAATCGATTGAACAAGACGAATTCAATCCTTACAGTATGTAGATGATCATCAGGTGAGTCGAATTCCATTGAAATCTGACGACATCGAATGGACACATGTTGAAATTGATTGACCACTGATCAATTGGAATGACCAATGACTAAATTCGGGCGGTTCACAAATGCAGTGCGCAACCAAGAGTTTGCCACGAAGATTTCATTTTTCCCAGTGCATTGTGGGAGATAGTCGACAAATTCACACGCGGGACATTTGAAATTGTTCGTTTTGCTAGTCAGTAGTTTCGTAAAGGTATGCTTCGAGTATCTGTTTGCCCTTTTGTTTTCTTTTTATCAATGTGTTTTTTTTTGTGAGGCGGCAGAACGCTATGCCCCAATCTGTAATAAATTAGTTCAAGTTGTCTACTGACACTCATTCAAATGGGCGATGTTTTGTCGACCGTAAACTAGAAAAATTGACTCTCCATGGCAAACTCTTGGTGGCGCACTGCATTGTGAATCGCCCGAATTCATTGTAGTATTTGCGCCTTCCAGTCTTCTGAGACGAAATTGAAGTTAACCGTTTTTGAATTTGAATGAAAAAAAAGTTTTAAAATGTGCGGGAAAAAACACGCAGTGTATTTATCCGTGAGATACTTCAACAGCGACCTCAGGTACAGGCCTACAACAAAAGGAGCAGATGCATTCCTGCACTCGTATATATTCAACACCTGGTTGCCTCTCATTTCTTTGAGTTCTCGTTGGATATTTTGTTTAGCTGATGGTCCGAGGACAAAACTTTCCATTCCAGATGTAAATTCAATATTCCAGATTTGCCAACTGTGAGCATGTTCGAGAGATATAGTTAACCATACAGTTCGACCAACTTCACTAGAACCGAAGCCTGCAGCACGGTTTCATCTTTGGTTACCCGTAGCCGTGCGCATCACTATGCACAGCATGGGAGCCCGGACCAAGAAGTTTGGTGATGTTTTGACCAGCGTACGCGTGACGTTCAGCCGTTTCAATTTAGTGCGCAGGCGTAAGTTACGTCAGGAATCAATCACTAGTCGGCTATTGGTCCTCGCCAGAACTTGCTCTGTGTAATGCTGCGACTTGGAAATGAGGACCATCGGAACTTCACAATGATTAGTTCCTGCTTCACCGTACGAAGTATCCACGAAGTACACAGCGGTGATGAGTCTGGTGCCAAGGGACCGATCTGTCGCCAAGGCGCAGTGCTTGTGGTACCCCCTCGTCAGTTGAACGGTAAGACTTGCTCGTTGTTGCAGGACCCGAGGGGCAGCCTGTTTCTTCTGACTACCTGAGTCGCAGTCACTGATAGATGACTAACTGACTGAATGTGTCACTGGTTGTGAATGATGCCCCAACTGAGACTTTTGGGTCTTGTTCTTGTTCTTTTTTTTTGTTCACGTTTCGTCTCGGTTGTTTGAACATCCAAGTGTATTTCTTTTTGCATTTTTAATTAAGTCCCCCGTGTCCTCCCAAACCATTGGCTCTTTGACACACACACACTTGGATCACTTTGCGCAGTCGCGTATATTCATAAGCACACATTTATCTGACGTCACTACTAATCAGGAATCGGCCTCTTTGACGTTGTAGTAAATTGGCGATATCGCACTGCCATTTCCTTTGCTTGCAGAAGAAGTTCTGAAACATATAAGCGTAAGAAGTTAAGCCTCTGTTATTTTCAAACAATATTGTTGAAGTATTGCAAAATTAACAACAAAAACGGAAATATGAGTAAGTGCGTCATTACATCAATAATGTTGAACAAAGAAATCGGTCTGGATCCGTACTTGAAATCGCGATCTCGTGAACATTGTATAGGGCGCCGATACGCCCCTCCAGACAATTTCTTCGTTCATCCCACAGATATCCGGAACTCATCAGATGAATTTCAAATAATGAAATTGATGGATTTTTCTATAAAATACCCAATAACGAAACAAACTTTGCTAATTTTGATGAAATATTTTCTTCTCATTCACGTTAATTAAGAATTTGAAGAGCCCGTGGCATGGGCCTTATTCACGTGTCGGCCATATTGAATTGAGAGTGAGGCAAAATCTTCATTTTTGAACTTGTGTAGAGAAATGAAAGCAATGACGTTACAAATTAATACCAGTCTGCTCTGATGAATAATTTAGAATAAGTGATTAAATATACCCTAATGTGTTAAGTCACATTTAAAAAAAATGAAAGTGAGGCTGGAATGAATAAATAGTCTGGCAACATCCCATTCAACAGTTCACAATCTATGAAACACATTCAGGGAACACGACAAAAATGGCTTCCACCTGAATATAATCCATGAGGTTTAGGCCTACAATTAGCATATTTTGTGCAAAGCCTAAGTTAACATGATTCCTCACCGTTTTCCCCTGCTGAACAGTCCCCTAGCAATAGGAGGGTACATGTACCCTGACACACTGATGGGTGGTGGGTGGGACCTGAGTAACATGGCCGTCGTCTCCGATCCCTCCGTGTTCTGGTAAGGAGGGGAGCTGAGGTACTCGCTGTTTGGACGGGTTGGGTTCTCGTAAGTATTTTCCTCTGTATGGCGTCTCTGTATATATAAGATATAAGTTCAGTGCTTCCACTTTCCGAAATTCAATGTCCTTAGCAAAACAAATGTATTTCCTTATATTTGGTCTGATGGACGTCACAATTTTCCTAGTTTCCTTAGAAATGGAAGCGCTGTACGAGTTTTTAATTAAGTCTGGTTCCCTTACCTGATGATCACCAAACGCCTCTTAATAGATAGTCGGCCCACAATCTCATTCAACAATATACTAACATGACGCAACAAAGCCCTGCCCTTGTCGAGTGCATACTCGAAGCACAAAGCCTAAATGGTTATTAAATGCAGATACTGGACATTGCACCTGGCATTAAATTTTGAACCTGCAAGCCTTGATTTAATGAACAAAAAATGAACAACAATTAACAAGCATGAAAGGTATTTTGTTAGTAAGTGAAGAAAACAATTATGCCCAGACTTATCGGAGCAATCGCGAACATTTCCGAGTGTCAACGAGCGCATTCGCCTACCAATTACGCAAGATTGTCAGAAAAGGCAGAATCTTTTGGTCATTGGAACCAGACTATTTGAAGTATCAAATCAAAACATTCTTGCACGGCTAAGTCCAAATGTGCAAGCCCAAAAATGTGTTGTCCAAAACAATGAGAGAAGGTAATGAAACAAATTAACTTGCTTTCCGATCAAGTATAAAGACTAACTTACATGTATATTCATGTACTTGTAGCACATCTTTAACCTGCAGATATATATTCCTATGAACACCAGGATCGCTGCCAGAAAACAGCTGGCGAGTATCGGTGAGGTGCAAGTAGGCTCTGTGGGAATAAACCAGTTCACGAGAAGACACAGTAAGTGAATTCCAGTAGTTTTGAAGAAAAAAAAGAGCAAACAATAAGTTGTCATGTATGGTTTTAAGCTTAATACCTTAATTAAGCTTAAATTTAAATAACAGAAAACATCCTCTCTGAGATACCCACAATGCATGAAGTTCATCGTCTAAGAGCGGTCGGTAAGACAGCGCCCTCCTGTGGTAGGCCTAGGCCTGGCACACGATTAATTCACGGGAGGGGGGGGGGGGGGAAGTATACAAGAAGCACAAACATTCTCCGTCTGACATTGTTGAAAAGCCTGCACATCGAACAGGACTTACCGTCGAGGGTGAGAAGCGCTTCAGCCTTGTCAACTCCAGGGGTAACTTGAATATCCGCCGGCTCGCTCGTCAACGCCTCGTAGATGGTTACCACGGAGACCACGTACGTCGTCATGGGAACCAGCCCGTCGATGGTGACCTCGTTTCCGGTGACCGTGGTCGGTGCAGCGTCTTCTAGTTTCATCGGGGCATAGGTCACCTTGTATCGTTCGTAGCGTCCAGATGGAGGGCTCCACGCGATTGTGACGGACGAGTTGGTGACTTCTTGTAAGACTAGATCGGTGACGGTACTTGGACCTGTATCATAATTTCAGCGGTTAATCTCTTGGTATATATGACCAGTATCGAATACACGTAGGACGGTTAATTTCATGATTCGTTTTGAATGCTACCGGTACCGAATATGAAGCAGTTAATTTTATGATTCATTAATTACCAGTAAATTCCCTATGGTCGTGCTAGAATGAGATCGTGCCTATTGTTTTTTTTATCAGGTCAACGAGAGAATCACAGTGGTGCATGTCTGACTCATCTTATCGTATTTCTTGTTATTAAAGAGCACAACATTTCAGATAAACGGTATTTTTTTGTAATTCTTAGAAGATCTGAACTCACGAGTCATGGTGGTCTTTTCCTGAACATTTCCGCTGGCGTCCGACGGTATGATCCGTATCGTGTAAAAAGTGGTGGGCACCAGCGCCATGAACTCATACTGCAGCGTACCAGACTCGAATATGACGTCAGTGAAGACATCGCTGTTATTGGAGTAGATGACTATGACGTAGCCGTTGCTATGGTGATAGTCGTCTCCTTCGTCTTCTTCTACCTCCGGCCGCACTGCGCCGGTCCCGTGTCGATTAAGTCTGGACTGGGAGCTTCCCCGGTCGTACGCCGTGGGAGTCTGGGTGGTGGTCGCCGGTACTAAACGGGCTACTATCTGGATACTGGTGGCGGTGACTTTTTGGAGGAGGATTTGTGACTTCGAAAGAGGAGCTAGACAACACGAATTCAATGTAACCATGAGGTATAATAGAATAATGCAAGTGTGGCCTTAGTTAAATTTGGTTAGAAGCTTGAGTAAAAGAAACTGAATATAATGATGGATTTCGAAATTAAAAAATATGAAATGTTTTCCATCTTATTGCCCCATTTATATTGTTGGAAAGACGCATGACTTAACGCGTTACTGTATATGGGAACCCCGATAAAACAACTACATTGAATGCTGTATAGTGTACACTAATTTGCATAAACTGATTTGCATATTTGTATATGTAAACTGTACCTGTTGTTGCATTGAGAGTCGCAGGATCACTTTGTGATTTCGAATTCCGGACACCACTCACCGACACCAAAGTAAAGACGTATGAAGTGTTTGGGTATAATTCAGTCACGTGTTTCTCAACTATCCCTTTGTCCAATAGCCGCAGTGTTGTCATGGTCTCACTCCCGGTTGCTTGGTATGAGATTTGGTATTGGTCGAAATTCCCGATCGGAGGTTGCCACATAAGGAAAACGGAAGTGGAGTCTAAGCTTTCTGCTTTGAACGTAAAATCACTCGGTGCATTTGGCTCTGTCACGAGAAGTAAATAGAACGAAATCCGTGAAATTAATTTAAACGTCTTCAAAATTTAAACATCCTTCCATTTTGTTCACTGAAGCTAGCACGAGTTCCGATTTTTGTTGTTTTGACTTAGTTCGGCATTTTACCAAGACTTAGTTTTTATCTTCTATCAATTAAGTAAAGAAAGAACAGTACTAACAAAAAGAACTTTATGTTCGACATAAAAAATGGAAACGATTAATTAAGCCGTACTTGTCCTCAGTTTTGCATCCAACTCGTCCCCCACACCTGTCACGTAGATTCGGATGTTGTACATGGTGCCGGGCGACAGGCCACGCAGTGTGTGCGTGGTGAAACTTTCCCGCCAGTTGATTGGATGGTACTGATGGTCAGAGGCCTGTGGTTGGCTGGCGCCCACCGGCCATATGTAAATGAGGTAGCTAGAGGCTTTCTGATTCACGTGCTGGGGCCAGCTGATTTCCAGCTCCGTACTTGTGTGATTGCGAAGGAAGATTTTGTTGCCAGGAATCTCAACTGCAAATCAATTTAAAAACAGCAACAACTTTTGTTTATGGGTAAGGTTTTTTGTTTCATATTATTACTTTTATTAATTTCAACTCCTCCTTCTCATGGAATCAAGGCACCGAAGCTTTTAATCATCTGGAAGCATAGACGGAGGAGATGAAGAAAAGTTATTGGAGGTTGGAGAAAAACAGGCGAGAATGAGATTGATATTCAAGGGAAAACCCATGGAATCGGGGAGGGACTTAAAACTCAATCCAGGTGTCGTCCTGGGCCAATGGGGAGATTCCCATCCAGGCCAGATATCTCGACTTGATAGATGTTTTTTTATACGTTTTTATGGCTCAATAATTCATGATGAATCATTGCAATGATTCAACTTCTTTGCAATTCAACTTCTTTGCAGCCTCAGCCTAAATATCCACACAAAACCCGATGCATCTTTTTAAAGAAGAGTTTAATAAAAAAAAGTATGAGGTAATTAACTTTAACGGCAAGTAAGGAAATATGCTGATTTTATGGTTCACAGTTTCCCACGGTGCATGCTAATTCTTGTTTTTGGCAAATTTGGTATGGTACTTAGCAAAAATCACGGACAATTACGCAGCAGAAGCAGTGCATCATGCCGGCCGGATATGCAGCATGCGATAAACATTCAGTCTATCAACTCCTCAAGTGACTCATGTCAGACTGAACATGAGTTCACGCGCGAACCTAGGGGAACAAACTCATGCCTATGATTGCATGTCACTTGATCTGATTATACAACTCTGGATAGATATACCAACGGGAAAAAACAAACTCTTAAAGGTCAAGGTCTAAACATAACTGGGGAAATAATAATAATGAGAAACACCTTTTTTTGGCAGTCCTAATGTAAAACGGGGATCCGCCTCGTTTAAACGCATTCAGCCTATCGCTCAACCAAAAGCGACTTTTTGTGCCCTAAGCGATTCACTAAAAACGCCAGAAATCCTGTGCACTGACGCAGCCTATTTGTCCTAGCTTACCCCAACCAATGACTTATTTGAGACGTTATTGCATCAACTACAGCTCTTTTTGTCATTTGGTGACACTTTACTACCATTGCAACATGAAGTCAGAAGGGGATGAAAAACGCATATGCTAGCCAACGACCCAGTTCGGCAAAAATGCCCCCACCTTTAATGAGTAAAAGTTTTCGTCAGGACAGACCACAAAGCCATACTGATTCAAGTTTCCTATAAACCAAATAGAGCAAAGTTTGGTTTAATTTGATAGGGTATGTCTATTTAATATAAATGTTATTGAAAAATCTCACTCGTAATGAAACCAATTAGGTTTCTTGAGGTGCACCGCACTGCAGCTCGGAAGCCTTATCAAAAAACATAAAGAAAAAAGACTCAAAGCTGAAGAAGTGATCAGTAATTGCAGAGGCCAGAGGAAACCCAGAAAATGATACTCGAGGGATTCTAAGGAATCAGGTTGGAAATGGACCCCAACCCAAAAGTCAGTCAGGCCGGGATTCGAACCAGGATCACGGGGTGCAAGGTGAGTAATGCCCCACTTCGCCGACCTGACTTCCTCAGAGTTGTGAACGAACGGCCATATTGGAACCATAACGAGGCTGTCCGCTAAAAACAAAGACTGTACAGTCTTTACTATGTGGGTACCAAAGCTGCGTACATAGGCTTACATTTGCCAGGATGTGGCTCTCATTTGCCAGGATATCTCTCTTTCATAATAATCAACCCAGGACCGTTGCTGCCACACTTACCCTTGACGACGGCGTTAAATGTGCAAGTAGCCGAATTCCCTGCCGCGTCTGTTGCCGTGTACATCACCTCAGTCCGGCCGAGCGGGAAGCTCTCTCCACGGGAGCGAGTACAGGTGATCCTTGGTGGCCCGGCGTTGTCGATACCACGGGGTGGCGTCCAGGAAACAGGACCGCTGTTGGCTGTCGGGGGAACGTAGGTTAGAGCCTCCACTGGGCATCCTTCTAAGATGGGGCTCTCATCATCTGCTCAAGATTCAGATTATCATCGATGTCTTTTACTTTTGGTAATTCTTTTGTCAATCATACAAGGATGGATTCATATGCACGTAGACATTAATGTCAGAATTGTCCGTAAGCACCGTAGACCATCCAGTAATGACTATTCGTGGTCCATAAGATAAGACGTTACAACCTCATATAAATTATTTTGTTACGCGATTCATTTTTTTTTTAGCACTGTGCATTTTGGCAAGTTGTCATCGACAGAAGGCGCAATAACCGGTCATGCGCGCTTCTTGCGGGTGCAATCCTGCAATAAAATTCCCATAGATTCTAGTGCTAAATGCCCATACTTCAAAATTCTTTTAAAAATACTCAGAACTCTCACTGCAGGTATTTAAGCTGCACAGAAAAATGATGATCAACATGTCATTCTTCATTTTCTTTTCATTTTTTGGTGGGTTGACCATTGACTTTTCGAGGAATTCTCACTCAAAGAAGATGACCCTTATTTTTCCCAAAGCGAAAAAGTAGCCATCTTGAAAAACGATCCCTCCACAACAGGGCAAATAGTGCCACTTTCGAGCCCAATTGCATCCAAAATGCTCAGAATTGGAAGCCCCAAGTCAGGGCCAGAGGTTCATTGCGCTTTTTGCCATATCTTCTTCATTTTAAGGATATAACTTGTATTCATGAGCTCGGCGGATGGGTTTAAGCCTATTTACCGGTGTGCTCCCTTGATAATGGACTCGATTCTAATCAGAGTTCGGAATCGAGTAAAATCAAGCGCTAAGACCCGAATGTGGGAGGAGTTGATTGAAGCTCTGAGAATATAAAACATACAGTAACGTGGTGAGTGAACACAACGCTGTCGGTTGTGCCTAACGAACAAAACCCGATTATTGACCGAACCTTCTGGTTTTATAGAGGCGAAAAAGGTTGTTGATGAAATTCAGCAAAAAGTAGAGATGGATGTACAACATTTCCATGTTCGTTGATAGCAAGGGGACTCATACACTGTGACTGATGGTCTCAAGAGGCTACTAAATTGTATAAGCTTAAAAGGAAGCCAACTACCCTTGAGTGGGAAACAAGATTGCATTGCAGTCAAACACATTGAAGTCTCGATCCCTCTTCTCAATTTAGAGAATGATAGGGCAACAGCCAGAATCAACGTCTCTGGGCTACATAAATGTCTGTAGTTTTGACGATTTTGTGGTAAGTTCAAATTAGGTTGTACACATTCAGATCGGGAATAAAAATAATTCAAGGTCTACAAATTGGACTTCGTTACTTAATAATGCCTATAAAGTTTTAGTGCATGAGGCACCTATACTAAATCTCCCGTTTGAGACATTCACACATTACGTACGGGCAGTGTAGTGTATCCAGCTTATGATGGGGGGGGGGGGGACAGCACATCCGCGCCGAAATGTAGACATGTTCATTTCTCCGGACACTTGGCCTCCGTAAAATCAAAGGGGGGGGGGGGGGGCTGGCTGGTACCCGTCTTTAAGCCGACCATTATTAAGCATAGTCTACTGGCAAATATAGAAACCTATGCCGATTTCCATGGCGCATTGTTGTGGTTTTGGACTTTGGTTTTCTTTTGTTTTTCATGTCAGAACTCTGTAAAAATCCGCGGGGGGGGGGGGGGCAAGGTGCCCCCCCCCCGGATACGCCACTGCGTATGGGACTTGAACTGTATAAGACATCGCATACATTTTTGGTACAACTTTTGTCTCCAGACGTCAACTATGTACGGAGTCTGCTGTCTAGTCGTAGAATCAGCAATTAAAGGTATATTTACCAGTTACGATGACGTTAAAAGTACACTCCGCCTGGTTACCCTTGAGATCCACAGCTGTGTAGGTCACGCCTGTGTAACCCACGGAGAACGACGAACCAATGGGGTTGGAGGAACTGAAGTGCTTGACCCGGAAGTTGTCTGTGGCTAAGGGGACGTCCCACGAGACCGATGACCTGGAAGTGCTTCCGGGGTCAGCCGGAACTGTGATGTCAGAGGGGCAATTGACTATGCGGGGAGGCTCCTCATCTTGGCATAAGAAGTTATTAAACCAGTTAACCGGGATATTAGTAATGAAATCAAGTGAATCACAAGTCAATTACAAGTACAATGGCGGGACGCGTAATAAGGATGAACATTAAGGATAGGGAAAGGGATGCCTTTGTCAAAAATGATTGGGAATAGCTTGTCGTCTGACTTGAGACTGGATGAAATGTGATTGACTTGCGATTGATTTGAGTAAACTTGATAACGTTACGACACATTACCAAACAAGTGCCAGTGCACAATAAGCTCTGGCGAAAAATGCGACGCCGATGGCACATAATTATCGAACACCATACTTATGATCAATTTTCATTTCTCCTTCAGGATACCGTCCAACCACTACACAAAATACCACGTGACTATAACATTACTGCACAAAAGTGTACATTATTTTGCCTCCATTTACACAATTTTGATTAACAACTTTAAGAATTGTTACAAACAATTTTTGTCAAGTGCATGTATTTCAGTCATTTTGTTTGTTTTTTCTTTAAATTTAATTTTGGTAGTTATATTCTATTGGAAACTTAGTGGGCTCGTTTTTTTTGTAAATTTTCCGGGGACGGACATTATGCAAAATAGACGCGCATGCGCATCGATCAAGAAAAGCACGTTTTTTTTTCGATAACCTTGGTCAACAGTGCATTTACTGACAACGGCATGGCATTTGGTAATTTTTTGATCAATTTTCGGGGACAGACAGACAGACCGACAGACAGACCGACAGACTGACCGACCCGACCGACCACCAAGTGACACGTAGAAGTTCCTGTCAGAGCTTAAAAATCTGCAGCTAGTGTTTAAATCTAATCTCAAGTTCATGATACAACAAGCACGTAGATTTTATTTTGTCAGTTTCCCTTTCTAATTTCCAAGCATACGCCGCGCTCTGAGAGTATATTCACTTGGAAAATCTGTTTGTAAAACACTTGAAAATCAGATGACTAATCGTCCACATGGATAGCGTCAACTTACCATCGACTCTGACCATGAAGCTGCATGTGACTTTGTGGTTACCGTCGACTAGTGAGTATCGGATGTTGTGAGAACCTACAGGAAATCTGACGAGAAAACGTTTTTTGGGGGGTTACAGAAGAGAGTAGCGCAGCGAGAAAGATTATGTTCACGATTATGACAGTTGTCCAAGACTTGAGATATTAATAATGTCTGAATTGAAAGGGACATGTGAGTGTTACAGAATGATGTATGAAAGCATTCAATGTTTAGCAGATCATGGGTAAATCACAGTCTTTCACATCTGTGTCACGCCATGTCAAGGAGAAACAAATTTGGGTCAGATCAATAGACCTTATTCACGAAGAAGCCATTTTTGATCGTGTTCCCAGAATGTATTTTATATAGTGTAAGCTGTTGAATGGGATGGCGCCAGACTATATATGCATTCCAAAACTCACTTTCAATTTTTTTTTTTAAAACATGGCTTAAAGTAATAAGGTATGTTTAATCACAAATTTTAAATTATTCATCAGAGAAGACTGGTATTAATTTGTAATTAACTTTATGTCATTGCTTTCATTTCTAGTATTCGCAAGTTCCAAAAATGAAGATTTACCTCGTTTTCAATTTAATATGGCCGACTCGTAAATAACGCCTATTTCATAGGTTTGCGACGCAAAGACGTTTTCTGAGCACAAAATAGTGAAATTTCATGTCATGTTCATAACGACTAAATCAAAACGAAAATTCGCTCGTCCCCGAACCGCACTGAATAAGAGTGCTGGCGACCTCTTATACCTTTAACAAATATTGTGAAGGAAACGCAATTGTCGCAAAGCATTGTGGGTAGGTCAATACACACACATTCTGTGCGCACGGGTCATGCGCACATGGAAGTGTTGACCCTTGGTCACTAACTCTATACAAAAAGTATCCAATGAGAACTCGAACAAAGAGGTATAACCAGCACCCTCGGATGGGGCGGTGGGCACCAGCGAAAAAAAAATGAAAACCACCTTTCTCCGGGGTTGTGTGATATTCTAGCAGGAAGGACCTCCACACCGTCGGGGTCGATGAAGCGGGGCTCGACCCACGTCACTCTCGCCCATGACCGGCCCATGTCGGTTGGTACGGAGATACCATTGGGGCAATCCAAGACGACATATTCTGACGAAGATCCTGCAAAGATTATACCAAAACAACCGTATAGACGAGAAAAATACTACTATAATTCATCACTATGCTTCCGATTTTCATTTTAGAGTGACCACACTACCTACCCTTAGCAGCAACATCACCGGTACAAAGACGCATGCAGGTACATTTGTAATTTGCTATGAAACGAGAACAAATATCGCTGAATAAATGTTTTAAAAGCATGACCAAATCCCGACAGGTGGGTCAGCGAAGTGATGGGGGTGGGGGTGGGGTGTGATAGAACATTGATATTTCCTAATGGTTTGAAAAAAAATCTACTTCGGATACAAAGAATGGTTTATTTACTTACGCCATGTCTGTGCAGTCACCACACCACATAGAACCATGACAAGGATTGTCTCGACTACCCATGCAAGTGACGTCATTGTGTCGACAGTCTGGAATCTGTCAATCAAATTAAAGACAGTGATGAGACGTCCCCTTCAATCAGTTGCATCAAATATTCAAGGAAATGAGCATTGATTGATTAACGTATAACAACGCAGTATAATTTCCGGATCCCACGAAACCAGTCTCTAAGTTTTATGGGCCTTATTCACGAGTATTATTATTCACAGGCCATATTGAATTGAAAGCTAGGTAAAATCTTAATTTTTGAAACTTGCGAAGAGAAATGAAAGCAAGTTAATTTATAGTAAATTCCAGTCTGCTTCAATAAATAATCTAAAATTTGTAATTAAACATTCCCTAATGTTTAAAGCCAGATTAAAAGAATATGACAGTAAAATAAGGCTGCATTGTGCCTGCAGTAAATAGTCTGGCGCCATCCCATTCAACTGTTAACAATTATCGAGATACATTCAGGGAACTCGACAAAAATGGCAAACTTGTGAAAAAGGCACATAAGGAGACCGAACGGCAGGCGATTTTTCCCATGCCACAAAGCCGCTACTTTGTAGAGAATTACGCTGGAGGGCGATATACATGCAATTATTGTAATGTTTAAAACAACTAAGTTGAGCCTGTCACTGCTGTAGTCTACTGGATACTACATTGAACTACAGGGTGGCAAAAAAACCTAAAATGCAATCCTGAAACATTTGACTTTTCATCCGTTCCAATGGCATTACCACAGTAAGGGATTTACACTGTACCTATTTGTGCATGAAATGCATGTATAGTGCATTGTGTCCTTATCCTTACAAACAACACGGCACATTAATATGACAAGAGTAATTAATTTGATGAAAATGTCTTTTATATTCCCAGCAGAACAGGTACCTTATCCTTTTTAGTCCTATTTTAAACCTTTCAGCATCATTAATATGTCACTACAGAAATATTAAATGCGGGGAACGGGGATCGTGGACGGTGTGGTGGGGGGGGGGGGGGGCTGGACACCATCTGACCATAGAGGACGCTGTATATGAAGATGTATGTATGCATTATAGGCACATTATGGATGTATACACATGTGTAATGCTCAATTACGCCCATTTCCCCCCCCCCCATTTTTCATTATATTGTGCAATTTCCGTGATAAGGATGGTGAACAAGCAATATCTTACTGCTTTGAAACCATTTGGGAAAAAACACCAGCCATTAAAGACAATCAAAACGTACCTTCTGTTTATATTACTTGCCGCTAATATGGGTTTGGTGATTTTAATTTGGACGTAAAATGTTTAGTGACAAAAACCCGCGCCATTGGAAGTATGCAAACATTTCACTAAAATTACCGTATCACTGATGACGATACCACACACTCTAAACAGTTCCTGGTCAGATTGATCTGTAATCTATCTGGCCTAAAACCTATCAGGGTCAAATGACCCTACTTCGGGTCAGAATGACACCTCTCTGGATCGTTCTCCGGGTCGTTTTGACAAGGAAACCTCTGTGTCATTATGACCGGAAAGGTGTCATTGTTGACCCTGAAAAGTATTAGACCAGAAAGATCTCGGGTCAAATCTGGATATAGGACGTTTTAGAATGTACACGTTGAAAATTCCACCAAATAAACCCCAACTTACTGCCTCGTTACTTCTTTTCTTGTTACAGGAAATGTTAATGCTTCCCAAATTGGTAATGATGATTGATTAAACAGAAGACAGGGTTAGTGTAAACCGTACCCGTCATCGTCTCTATTACACGACGCCTACAACTTCCCGTGGAAGTTCCCGTTGAAGTTGTAAGATTTTCTGATTTTTTTCTGTCAAAACGGCAAATCTAACCAAGACTGCCTTCCACTGATAGCGCTCTGCAGTCTCAGAGCATCGACGGTGAAACATCCGAAGAATCTTGACAGCACTTGGTGAGTAAGACCGCGAGAGGAAGGAATATAAACGCGGACGAAGCGTGTAATGACAGCTGAAGACTTTAGAGATGCGCGCATATTTAGAGAACGTTTAATTCACTCTCGTTGGGCGAAGATCAGACCTCCCTTCAATGGGAGTGATACTGGCGGGGAAAACTTGTTGCGAGCAGGCAAACTTTCAAAAAGTTGAGCATTTTTTCAAGCACCAGCTAAAATCACTGGAAATCAGTGGCGTATCCGGGGGGAGGGGGGGGGGGACACCTTGCCCCCCGGCGCATTTGTTGAAATATATTTTTCCAGTAACCATTTCCATAAATGGTTAGGAAGTTCTGACACTGAACAAAAAAAAAGAACAAGAAAACCAAGCTCCAAAACCAGTACAATGCGCCATGAAAATCGACACATATTCTCCAGTATGCATAATAATGGTCAGTTTGGAAGAGCGCCCCCATTTTGAAGACGGGTACCAGTCATATACATTCTATACTTAAAGTCTTGCAATAACAATGCTCGACTGACAAGTGCACAATTTTGTTTTCAATCTAGGGGCCTATCGAGAAACTCAACTTGCTCATGTTTTCCCCGATGTCATTCTACCTTTGATCAGACCCCAAAATGACTTCAGCAAAGCGGGAGATTTGATTCGTTGCCCCTAACGAACCGGTTCCTTTTTACCGGTCTTGCTTGTTTCGGTGCAGCCGGCTCTTCTATTTATAGACCGCTTCCCTTCGGAAATTCCCGGGGGGTTCCAAGTTCAGTGGATCAGCCAAGGACGCCCAGCAAATTCAATTGTGAACCTGCTTGCAATTTTTTTTTGTGACGCTCTATTTAAAACGGTACTTCGGTCTTTGTCTCCGATTTCTTTTTTGGGAGTCTTGGGAGGAAGACTTTGATTAAATGATAAAAAAAACCCGGTGCTGTCAGGGAAACTACAATTGCGGTCTTTGTCTCATGATATGCTAGGCCGACTTTTTAGCTGAAGTTTGAGGAAAAAACCTGGACTCGGTCTTATCTTTGAAAAATACATATCTGATACAGTTCAGTGGTTGCAATGTGGGTAATTTGCCGTCCGGTGCTTACACGCTCATTGCTCGCTCTGTCATCCTTAGATACAGGAATAAGAAAAACTGTTATTAACGACTCCGTTCCAATAATCTGAAGAAAAATACGTTATTTTTTATGTCAGATACTAGAATTTTTCAAATAAGACAATAAGAAGTGACTTATTACAACAGCATTGAAATTGTAACATTGGAAGAATTCTCAGCGCGAATACTTGTGAAGTCATATAAAATATACGCATTTCGACTGCGCTTTCTTGCTGAGATTTTGTTCCGGCACAGGAGCCTGTTTTATCCAAGGTAAAACGGATAATTATGCAAGTTCGAAATTAAGAGGAGTGATTGTGTTAGGCCGTCAACCGGGACTTCGTAGCCAACTACGAAAGGGGGAGGGGGGTATAGATGAGTGGCAGGTTATTCTGCCATTGGCCGAATAGGACTTTGACAATGTGGTGTTTCTCATTCATTAAACATGAAAAAAAATTCCAAGGCAGATATTACTAACCTCCCACAAATAGACTGGTACCTCCATTGCAAGTCTCATTTATATTAGTGTCATAACCCCAGGGAGCATGACCGAGAAAGCCTGCCCTAAGCTCAAAAAAGTCTCGTAGGACTAACCAGCCCGGAGATTTAGGCCAAGTTAACGACGTGTAGCCTCCCACTCCACACACGAATTCAGCTACAGACACCCGAAGGAGGATTAGCGAAAATTCTGACTCATGGGTAATTTCGGAAGTCGAAATCTTTCTAGCACGTTCCACTTGAGACGATGAAATAGCTCTGGTCAGATGTTGTCATTAATTGATGGTACGAAGGCCAGCTGCACAACAAGTCTTTGTGTCTCGATTTTCCTTAGCAGTCCTGTTGTTTTGTGATAATTATGGTGCTTGATATCATTTTATGCTGGTTAAATTATCAAACACTTTGTGTTGGACTCGTGGTGGTGTATAGTTCCCGGACCAAGAGTACCTGATAATATTACATTCCAACGATGTATTGAAATGCGTCAGGGGAACCAGACTAGACCCATGGGACGCAAGGTGGCAGCAGACTCATTAGACCGCAGTCGACTGGAGATCTGACTTCTAAATTTGGGAGATGAAAAAAGTGATACACACATACAAGGCCCAACATAATTCTAGAGGTCTGGATATACGACCACTGCCGCCCAACCATGCTTGGAGGAATAAGAAAGTCCTACGATGCGTCGTACGATAGGACGAGTTTCGTGAAATCGGCACCCGGTGTGACAAGACGTTGCAATAGTAAACAAGTACCATTTTTGAGCATTACTCTTTGACGTCATAACGTAGAGCGATAACAAACCATTTGACTTATGCAAAAATTTAATATCACAACACCATTACCGAATGTTGGAGCAAGACGTTAGAAAACAATAATATGCAAAATACGACAAATTTTCAGTGCATGTTACCTCTTTTTGAATAAGAACAACAGACTTCTCGTTGTTTAAATTTGACGAAGCACCATTTTCAACATAGAAGCATACGATTTAATGACATCAAAGTTTATTTTAAAGACATTCAAGTTATACAAATCCAATTCTGTTCACGGCTCAAAGTGAATCCGCCGATCGAACGTCATCCCAATTCCTAGCTTAGGAAAGCAGTCGAACCAGGTCCACCATGGTTTTCAGTGGCATTAGCAGACCCCTTAGGAAATGCAACCTAAGACGCTACGGATATCCGTGAGCGTGTCATCGCCTTTGCGGACTTGTACCCTCGGTAAATCACCCTATGTGGTTTGTCTTACATCGCTGCAGGCAAGGTTTCTGTTATACCAAGCATTATGACACGAGGACAATGACATCAGAGAGATTATCAGCAGCTCTCGCGAAGTCATCGCGAGGGGGGCTGGTGTTAGTGCGTTTATCATAGTTTGTCGGGCCATGTAATGAAACGCAGCACTGTGGTACTCGAACATGTCCTTGAGCAGCCTAGTTTACCATCACATTGTACTTTTGTTTCTTTACCGGTTACGTTGATTGCATGGTCAATGGTAACACCGATTAAAACAAAACATTAAAGTTTAAATTGGATCAACAACACAAAACAGTACAAATATGCATGAGAAACAAACTCCTTTGAAAAAAAGTGAAATTCACTTACTAACTCTAGGTATTAATTTACTTCATGACATTAAAGAAATTCATGACTTCGCTTCTGATCAGTTGGAGTAGACAGTGTGCTACCTCAACCTCAAAGCAGTGTGAGATACAAATAATGTGAGAAGTTAAATAGAAAAACCTCCGAAATTCACACGGCAATAATCCTCGACCCCACGGTTTGGAGCAGAACGCTACCATTACCTCGTTACAGGTGGTATTACCATACCAGTTAGACCTGTATACTATCACACTAAAATGATGACAAAAATAGAACAAGGAAAAATGTTTCTGTGCAGGGTTAAGCTTCAGAATACACATTGAAACACGTAACACTCGTTGAAAATTTTAATCACCAAGTACACGATACAAATGTCTGATTTATTGCCGGATCCCATGGTCTACTAATGAGATCGAGGTTGAAGCATAGTAGACCCTGGGAATTCGTATGCGTTACCACGAATGAACCTTTAAAGAGGCCAGGATGGACGATCACGTGATCGGACTATTTTTTAGTCACAACGAAGTACTTCTTCCGATCGAGATTCTTTCCTGTGTCCGGCACCTGTTGCTCCAGCTGTCACGTGATGTTTGAGGAAGACATCAATGAGGCTTTCCTCTTCTAATTTAATGGTATGCGTTTTTAACGTAGACTCACACTTACTCATTGAAATTACTGGTCATAATTGTGACAACACAACCTGTTTCTTATAATACAATTAATATTTAGAAAATTAAACAGTCGTGAATATACAGCCAAGCGCTTATAGTTAATGACTGCAGCTAATTATCAATTCGTCACTGACGACGTGAACTCATAACTCTCGGTTACAATGTGGATGAAAAACAATTCAGGGGTGACAGCTTTTGGTGCCAACCCTGAATTATGAGGGAGTTTTTTAGTTTTATGAAAATGGATTGATGAAGGCGTGGCACGGATTTTTAAAATCTTATTTGGCACGGAAACCATTCCTAAAGTACATCACAATTGAAATTCTTTATGACAAAAAATGGCGAAACCGCAATTATGTTTAGCTAATTATTTTCAGTGCGTTCAGTTCGGACGCACTGAGATTTGAGACCATTATAAATCACAACAAATTTAAAACTATTCTTCTTTGAGAAAAACTTGTGTCACGTCACGGCAAGTTTTCTCGCTGCGAGTTGGCAAAAAGTTAACCAGATTTCAACCTCGATGAATTTCGCTGCAAAATGTTTACCGACGTCAATTCGTTTTGCGAGAACCGGCATATACTCTGGTTACCTACTGTTTGAGCTCATTTCATTTCACTACACAAGAATATCGTCACATCCTAGCTTACTGGCTCCAAATAGCGATGAAAGTTTCCCATTTATTGCTACAAGTTACACAAAACCACATGATTTACTTGCCCTAATATCTTTAACACAGAAGCGGATTAAGTAGGTTGGGGTTAATCTGACATTATACACGTTTATCCCGATTGAATTCCAAACTTAGACAACAAACATCCCGTATTTTAATCCCATGTTGAAAGACAACCAGACATGCCTGCACACCACTACAAATGGTGGGTGCGACGGATGTCAAAGCATGAACCTAGAATAGAATTGGCACTACACCAGATTTATCATCTGTTCATAGACCCGCTTTTAGTTCGACCCAAATCGACTTCCAGATTTTAACCGTGCCAATTTTTTTTCACCCCTTGCGGAGGCTAGAGGAACAGTAAAATTAATGGAGGGACACTTTATAAGTGTTCTGACACACTTGGAGAGAGGGACGTCAATTAAGCAGGATGGGTATTTTATTTTCCGGGGGAGGGTAAGAACTCACAAAACAATTTACCGGCACAATTATACCAAACTCTTGAGTTCAAAGTAACATGCTGTAGTAAAGCTTGTGATGTGCAAAGTTAAGCAAATAAATCAGAAAGGGAAATCTTAAAGCTACATTTCGAGAAAATCCAAGGAAAACATATAGATGCATGGCAAGGTGATATGTTTCATGATAGGCCTATCTTTCTGTGTGAAACGATCGCGGGTTGTTACAACATTGCACACACCATTGAAAATTGTACAATTGCACACACAAACACGGCGATTTACTTAAATTTCTTCTTAAGCGAACAAGGGCGGATCCAGAACACAATTTTTTTTGGGGGGGGGGCCCCAAAAAAATTGCTCCCCAAAAAGTGTGTCCAAAAAAATTACGGTGTGGGGTTCGGGGCCCGCTTAAGGGCCCCGAGCATTTTTTTTTGGATTCTAAATGTTCTGTGGTGCGATCTGAGGCAATTACTGACCACTTTAACCAATGTTTTCGAGGAAAAGATGGTGGTTTGCTCATTGCCTGCCTTTATTGCGAAGTCATCTAAAAAAAAAAGAAACTGAAAGATTCGGTTTTTTTGGGGGGGGGGGGGGGCATGGCCCCCTTTGGCTCCCCCCCGGATCCGCCCTTGTAAGCAATGTACTTTGGAGTACGAAAGAAAGTGTGCTGTGAAAAAGAAGATATTAATGCACTTGGAATTATAGGGCAGCAGGTTTGCGGGTATACACCATGGACAAATCTCTTTAGTGAAGAAGTGTTGGCTCCGAAGAGAGCCGGTGGTGAGAGTAAAATACTCTGTTCATCTTCACCCTATACTCTCACAACCTATACCGCACAAAACACCATCCAGTGAATAATACATATCAATGGATGGCTTGGGCAAGGTCCGCAAAGAAGTTCTTTCTTACCGTGTTTTTGCTGTCGCTGTCCCCGAGCCGTAGGTTGACTTTTTAAGTTGAGTCAGCGCAGAGAAGGTCGATCGGTCGCACAGCTAGCTGAGCATCGATAAAGCTCCGTTGATGTTAATTCTTCCCAGCCTTTGACAAACACATCCAGGCCTTCCCAAGTGAAAAATTGAAAAGAGGGGGCCCGCGGAGGCTGTCACAAGTTCACTCGATGGCATCGACAACAGGAACACAGTTGATGAAGGGAGTCGGTGTTCCAGAAGTGCGTGGGCTCGCTCGGGACACGAAGTCACTTCTCGATAATAGAGTTCATGAATGCAGTCGCTAATCCGTGTACACAATGTACTTGGTGACTACACGGCGTACCGGAGAGATCTTATCGAAGATGATCGTTCCAAGGGAATGTTGATCTGAGACATTACTCACGTACTCGCAATCGCGGTCACCAATCAAAAATTCAAGGTAGGCACGGGGCACAAGTAATTTTGATGAGCTAGCTTTAGATTATTTCAGAGGGTTTAGCAGACTTCTAACATTTTCGACAATTTAATGTTTGTGAAAACCACTAAGCTTCATATATCCTCAAACCATACTTTTACAGTGGGGTTCTTGCGTATATATTGATTGAACAGCTGATTTAACAAGTCAGTAAAAAGGAGACCATTTTTGAACAACGCCTATAGGAACTGACGTCAACGGGCCAAATTGGTCGGATCAATGTTAAATAAGAGTGAAATTAAGGTGTATTCCGTGTGGGAAATTGATCGGTCGCAGAGGAAAGTGTTTTATCAAGAACTGTCGAAGTAAAGCGGGCTTCGATATCACCTACACGAGTTCTGCACTTCCTATAGCAGCGTCAGTAGGCCTGCTACCTCGCTGATCAACCGCACAAAAAAACAGGAATTGACCAATAAAAAATCTAACTTGGGGCTTGGCGAGTAAAAGGAAAAAACAGCTACCGCCACACCGACAAGAGTTGAAAGGGTCGAGTATAAAGCGCGCCACAGGCGCGGAGTGACGAGACATCAATTTCATCCAGCAAACCGCATCTCTTTTCCCCATGTTTGTTCTATGACCAAGTCAACGATCAGATTATGTGGAACGGGGCTCTGAGGAGTTCTTGTCAGTGACCACAGAGCAAAAACACGGTGCGATGGAAATTGTCACAAAAAGCTCTTGCCATTTGAAGAACTATAGAGGCAATTCGGAGTAAGAAAAGAACATACTAGTGTTGCACTTCAGTAAAAGAGGCACGTGCGGGAGTTATCAGGGAAGATAAAGATGGAAGATAAACAGTGTTTATGTCCCTGAGTTCTACAGGGAGATTCCATCACCTATATCTACGCCCTATATACCCGATCTATGATCGGGTAAATCAGCTTGTGAATATATAAATCAATTCAAAAGTCATACATCATGTGCGGGGTTGAAAACAGAAATATTGGTTATGCGTTTTGAGGATGTTCCAACCCTAGAAATATATTCTACTTATTGCAACCAAATACGTATAGTTTTTTTCAGTGAGGCTGAGGTGCTCTTGGCTCTTGGTGATCAAGTTGAGAGGTCATAAGATGGATGCAAATGCCTCAAATACTTCAGAGCCGTCCCTAGTCTGAAAGAATGTTAGAATGAATGTTTGTGACAGCGACCTTAATGTTGATGAGAAACTAACGAAACTCGCGATGCGCGATGTCTTTCTCGATAAGGCCCTTTCGGTAAGTGTCTTCTACTGTATACAAAAATAGATCTATAATCTAATAACTTAGGTAATGCAATTTGTCAATTTTTTTCAACTTGCGGTGATGACCATGCTTATTGGTGTCATAAATATAGATGAATTGTTGACGGATCTGCCTTGCGCAACATGTTGCCGGTATAGGCCTACAACGGAAATTGTTAAACTATGTAGAAAGTGTTTGACAAAGTGCTCTGTTTCGTTTCAAGAGTTCACGGAGTTTATATTTAAGGAATGTTCGGTAACAGCATTAAACTTCAACTCTTCAAAAAAACAAATCTTCAAAATGTTTTCCGCACATTTCAATTTAAACGCATAAACACGTTTGAACGATCTAGATATCTGTTGACGTCGTTCGGAGTCTACATACCCAAACTAGGTGAAAATAGGTGAAACCGTTCCGTCCAGTTCAGATTTGGGATCACTATCGTATCGGTCCAGGGTGTAGCGTAGGGTGTTTTTCAACAAATTTCTGACCGTAAGGAGCATATCAACCTACATTTATAGATGCTTCTCGAGAAATGGTTGTGGCTTTCGCACCCACGAACAAACTAGGTTTGCAGACTGCAATAAGTTGTGACGCCGGCCTGTCAAATTTTAACAAAACTCCACGCATGCAGGCCTTTATTGGGCCAAGGTCTTTGAATCGGTATGTGAACTTTTAGGGAACTATATTGCTACGCTTGCGGACTAATACTTTGCATATTAATTAGAGTTCAACGGACTATATAAGGCTTGGGCGCGGCCGTTTGAATTCAGTGGCCGTCAGCCTGACATGGGACACATCTCACCATGTCTTCATTTCGTTGTGAGTGTTGTTTAATATTAAATTATGTTTGAGAAGTTACTTTATTTTGAGTAGTCACTGTATCCCGGGGCAAAAGAGGCCCACATAACAGAACCATGAGCAGCGGTTGGAATGGAGCTTGTGATGAGATGACCAACCGGTGTCTTTGACACTATGTGACACGGTCACTGAAGAGGCCGCACTGACCGTATTCCGGAGGTCATTCATCGAAGTACGTGTTTCCGGAGGTCATTCATCGAAGTACGTGTTTGTTATTATTGAATTACAGCGATGAAGGAGGACCGGAATGGTTCAATTTCTCACTTAAATTAGTCATTCATCAGATAGACATTAATTCAGCTTGACCTTGGAAGTACGATAAGCGGTACGAGAGGGTGTGGTAATAGATGGATGCAACAATAGCTTTCAGTTATTATTTGCATTGGCGATTTATCGAAGCTTTAAAAACTCTCACTTCGTAGTTTTAGTCTGGTATAGGAACCATAAAGTAATAACTGTTGTCCAAGGATGACTGGAAATTAGGGGTGCAACCCTGTATTAAAATTCCCATAGACACCAGTGCTAAATGCCCATACTTCAAAATTCTTTTAAAAATACTCAGAACTCTCACAGGTATTCAAGCTGCACAGAAAAATGATGATCAACATGTCACCTTTCATTTTCTTTTCATTTTTTTGGTGGGTTGAAGATTGACTTTTCGAGATATTCGCACCCAAAGTAGATGACCCCTATTTTCCCCAAAGCGGAACGGTAGCCATCTTGAAAAACGATCCCTCCACAACATGGCAAAATAGCGCCACTTTCGAGCCTAAATAGCATCCAAAATGCTCAGAATTGGAAGGCCCAAGTCGGGGCCAGAGGTTCATTGCCATATCTCTTCAATTCCCCAATTTTATGGCGCTCAGAACTCTCTTATATAGAATATTTTGAGGGTATAACTTTTATTCATGAGCTCGGCGGATGGATCATAGACCTATTTAGTATTTACCGGTGTGCACCCTTAGTTTTTCGTTGTATTAGCGTCATTTTTGAAGGTTTAAGGAGCGATGACTATAATATTTCAAGCAGAAAAATATCCGTAATCCTCTTTAACGACGGACCCAAATAAACAGCAGCAAGGCATTAGCTCCACTAGGCGCGGTTGAAAGGCCTGGGAAGGGGCAGGCGGATAGTATTCTCTTGTTTTCGTATAGAGTGAAACCAACCTTTTCCTACCCAAACTCAATAAGACGTTTAGAGCGAAATTTATTCATTCGAATTGAGATTAAATTTTCACTCAAGTAATGCTTTTTTTGTAAACTCTTTTAATCAATCTTAGTAATTTTGCACTTCAAATCGCCTATTAATATTTTTGCGGTGGCTGGAACTCTTTGGAGATAAAGAGAGTAAGCCGACCAAAACTACAAGCCATTTTAATCCAAAGATGTTTCCCAGAATTCGATGTAATTCTAAAAAAATATGAAAAAGCCTTCACGATTCGATATTAAAAAAAAAATTCGACAAATGTCTGATAATCACCCAAACTCCTACCAATTTCCTTTTTGCTTCATCCTGAAGAAAATCCCTACGCGCTCAATTTCCTCCTTTTGTTGAAGCAGATGTAGGCCCTAATTAATAACAAAGACAAAGTATTGCTTCGAAGCTCCCCTCTCAAAAACAGGAAGACCCAATTGTAGACTATAATAAAACAGAACCAGTCCGAAATTTCCGTGTTGCTAATTCGATTACAAGCCGTGCTATATAGCATTGCAAACCCCATCCTCCCTAGGGTACTAGATCTGAGATTTCCAGAGCTGCTGGTTCCAGTTTTGGGAGGATATTAATTAAGCAAACTATACCTTGGGGATATATCGGATTTCTGTCTGGGGATCGGGCTTCCATTTTCCATTTTTTTCATCTAAAGATAAGTCACTTTTAAGAACTCTGCACACTGCCTATACACACAAACCACTCAAAAACAGAAACTTCAGTCACTTTGAATCTTTAGTAACACGGACGTCTTTATTACTAGTTTTTTCAGCATAAAGGCAATAAAATACTTTCTCTTTTTTATGTTAAAAGTCTTGTCTATACACTTTCTTAAAATCAACGTCCTCATAAAGTCACGGGTCCCTAAAATTACATTTCAAGGTTTAATTTCTTCTTTTTTTCCGTCCGTCCCCTCTACAATCGTTTACATCGTACAAGGAAATACCTAGGCCTCTCGGTAAACCTTCGCTGGAAATCATTCAACAGCTTCTGTGATAAAATATACCATTCACGTTAGAGGTGCAACAATTTGCAGAAAAACGTCTGCCGGTATTGTAGAGCTTGTCATTTAGAACACCTTACTAGATTGTGAGCTCTAATGGAACATTCGGTGTTCACGTCAACCACTGATGATTTTGGGAATGTCACTTTGCCAAAGTCCCAGTTAATTCAATACCAACATTTTTTTTACGCGGCTGCAGCCTTTCCTAGTCATTTTGGTTGGGTCGCTGAAGGTGCTTAGGCCATTCAACATTGATTTTTAGGTTTTCATCACCTCCCGCCTCGATTTTCACTCCCGCCCCAATTTTTTTTGTATTTTATGGGTATATTTTTTTTCTGAAAGTGTGTTTTTTTTCAAAAAAGAGTGTATTTTCCAGACAAGTTTCTCACCAAATCCATAGGCACGGTCGATTTGCACGCAAACATTGTGCACGACATACTGAGCACATCGCGCGAATTCATCGTGCTATTAATGCATACGTTATCGTATAGTCGGGAACCATGACGAGTCGATGTTGTATTGATACGACGTTATATATAGGCACCATACAGAATGTATTATGCTAAAGCATACGGCATTATATAGTCAGGAATCATGACGAGTCTATGTGGTATTGATACGACAATATCAAGTGAGCGTGTGTTGTACAGTACTCGCGATCGTAAAGTTTTTTAAGTTCAAAGTTTGACATCTAGCTGGCAAGGGTAGGCCAATACGGGCGATTCACAATAGTGCGCCTCCAAGAGTTTGTAACGCGTTGGCCAATCACAATGCGCGAAATCAGTCTACCTTTTCCAAACGCGCGTTGGGTCGACAGATTTTGCGCATTGTGATTGGCCAACGCGTTGCAAACTCTTGGAGGCGCACTATTGTGAATCGCCCGAATTGTTGCGTTGTTTGTCTGAACACTCGGTCAACTGTAAACCTACATGAAGTCTGCTATAAACTGTTAGGTTCATCAACTTTCTAATTTCTAGACACAAACCCTAGGTCATTAAACAGCTGACTGGTACTTAATATTCAGTAGTTTTCAAGTTTGTTGTGTCTTTCTTCTTTTAGGGTTATCTGACGTTGTCCCTTCAGTTCACTTTGAATGTGAAGATGTGGAATAAAAAAAAAAAAAAAAAAAAAACACCACACACACATAAATTCCCCTCCCAACCATTTTTTTCAATCTTGAGTGACGAAAACCTAATAATCAATGTTGATTGGACTTAGCACCCTTTCCGGGACTATACAGTTGCTTAACTCTGCCGCAACCCCCGCCATATTACACAAGGTCTGTCGTTATAGCTGAATACATTGTTTCTTACACCAAGAAAACTTGACGACTTCTCAATGATATTTTTCATGCAACTTTTGCAATTCCAATCACTTTTACAACGCTGCTGCAATGCCACTGATAAATTTCAAGTTCAGCAATTCTTCCTTTAAATAATCTCAGACCATTTATCTATACATGGTCCCTTTGCAACAACTATCTGTACCATTTCTTGATAAATCCACCAACGACATCCTTCAGTTGTCAATCAATCAGTCATACATTGTTACAAGTTGCATAAAAAATGTTACGTCACATTACATAACTACGTACGTTTCAATACACAATCGTCCGTAACCGACTACGTCAAAACTGTTTAAACGTTAAACCATTTTTTTTGTTTAAATAATATAATCATTAGTATTACAGTATTGTTAATTTCACACGAAATTCATAACTTATTTGAAAGTATATAATAATCTTTTTAGGCCCACGATCAACGTGGATCGCCACATAAGATAAAAGTTAGACTTTGCCTGGCTAAGTTACTTTGTACATGAATATAATATTTTTGTTAAATATTGTTACTTATATAGTATCTTATAATACACCATTGAATGCATACAATTCAATAACATACGTCGACACCCAAACAGGATAACTAAAATCGCAAATAATGAATAACAGGCATTTCGGCCCTTAGATATCCAACACTACCAAAAATATGTACACCAATTTGGCTACAATGTATATATTACCACCAGTAACATTTCTTGGAGTCTGTATATTTGCACATTAAAGACCGTACAATGGAGAAAAGGAAGAGCAATTTCAACCGCTCGTATCAGCAATCTGATTAAGAAATCGACAAACAAAATAATATTCTGTTGGGTTCACATTTCTGTTGTCCAATTCCATGGTTTGAGATTGCAAGAACCAATTCAAACAATACGCTGAAATCTCACTGAAAAGTTAACAAGAGAGCGTAATGCTTGATTTCATCAAGGCCGGCTTTGAATAATTACAAACTTATTCGTTCTTTGCGAGGAATCTTCAATTCGGGACCAGAGCGAGGCTGTGCATGCATGCCCAACAAACACTTCTTCGAATCTCATGATTGATAAAGTTGCGACTATTATCCAATTTGAGTAGCAGAGTCCTGGGAGGAGAGGGGAACGGCACGGCGTCACACAATAATAGATGAAATTTGGAATTCAAGGGGAAAATTTGATTTCAAACTTTCGAGAGTACGCGTAACTGTTGAAAATGGTAAAACATAGCCTTTCGCGCGCAATACTGCTTATTTTCTTTAGCGGGAAAATACAACCAGGACATTCGATGCACATGAATTACACAAGCTCTTCCCTGAATTTGCCACATCGTTGCCTATTTATTCCAATAGGCATTTTACAATGATGCAATAGTGAATATTTCACCCTCAATCAACACTCTTGAAATTAACTCCTGATTTGTTCCCAGCCTTTTCTCGGTCACAACTGGTTTTTGCCGTTACACCCCAAAGTACGGTCCTTGAAATATCCATAGCTTTTAATTTTTTTTTTAAATTTCAAAATATACATCAATTCAACTACATGTGGGCCTTCAAAAGCCACACACACGTGAAGACCGAAAACCGAAATTTCAGAATATAATAAACTGTCTTTTTTTAATAATAATAATTTCACCAGAAAGACGTTTCCTACACATAACACTTTTATAAGCAATACCTTTTTACAACAAATGCCGATGTTGCTACACATCGTGCACTAGTCACTTACGGTTGATTACAATAAAACTTTAATTAATAAACGAATTAGTACCAAATGGTACAATTTCTACAATTATTTTACCTTTGACCTTCCAAAGGCACAGATAGTCACCACATCATCAGTATCGCTTGGTATCGGTGAATAGTCAAGTTTTTAGTCTCTGCACTTTTTACAAAAAAGTATAAAACAATTCTGGATCTACATTGTACACAACGTCACGGATGTATTACGTGCGTCCGTTTTCAAGGGAGTATTTTTCCAATTTTGTCAAATTCGGTTCAAGTCAATTTCTTGTCATTACCATCTCATTATGGTCTTTTGCTATCACGCCACGTGGTGGGGAAGGCTTAATTTTTTTAGCTATTTACTATTGATAAACCTACTTTTTTATAGGGACCAACTGAATAGTGAACATGGCTTTTGACGTACTTTTGTTGTTGTTTTAAAGTAAATTAAAATCTACCAAAACTATACTTATATCGCAAAGTAAATTCAAACACTCTTTTTTTAACCAACCAAACGCATCTGTGGCTGGCGGGCACAACACATCGTATGATAACCTTATGGCAGAATATACCGAAGAATAATCAAGGAAATCTAGTGGTTCGACAGAGATACATGTTGTTCAAAGACTTAACCCAATCATTCAAGTCAAGTTTAGAAACTGCACCCGCTTCCCACTGCAGGGTCGTGATGACCCTGCATCGTGATGATCGTGATGATCGTGATGATCGGCTGTTTTAACGAAAGAGGGCGCTGCTTCGCACACTAAGGAGAGCGAGTTGAGGGCAATGGCGGGCACTATTCGCCATATATAATAACTTTTTACCAGGGAAGAGTTATTAAAAAGTTTACCTTTTACTGCATGAAAAAGTTGTGTTTAAAAGAAATGTAAGGGGGACTTTTTGTCTTCATTAGTCAATCCATTTTTTTCCCCAGTCGGTTGAGTATATCAGTCATGTTTAAGTCACTACATAAAAAGGTGACCTTCAACCTTTGGTGTGCGCCACCAACGGCGACCAGCCACTCATTTTTTTAGCTGCCCAGTGGAGTGTTTTTTTAATAGTTACTCAGCAAACCATCCCTAGAAGATAAATGGAACGCTCAAAATCGAACACCACAAATGATTCGAGACATTCCATTCGTCTTCAGATAGGGAAGTTCGTCGTAACTATAATGAAGCAAAAAGCTACAACAAAATTATAATTAATGATACAAGCTTAAAAAGCACTAAACGACCTGAGCATAAAAAAATGGAACTTTGCACAGAATTGACCGTCACATCAAAAACTGCTTGCAAATCAATAAATATAATCAACTCAATTTGTAATATTCAGCATTTTTGAGCAAAGGCCAATTTACACTACACTATAGCTATATACACAGCACCCCACATGTATATATTCCATTACAGCTAGTACGGCAGCACAAAAGACGAGCTAAATGATTTGTTATATAAACTCCGACTCCCTAAGCATTTTGCAGGTAGGTGCGTAGTATAGAATTTATCGAGCTCCATGTGCTATGTTTTCTTACCAAATAACGAAGGTTCTCTTGCAATCAAAACTTTGAACAAATATCATCAAAAACAAGGTGCCTCTTCAAAAGACTTAGCAAAACTGAGCAAAATTACAGCGTATTTCTTTTTAGCCAAACCACTAACTTTTTGTAAACAGGAAAAATATTCATCTAGAAAATATAGATTTTTTTCCTTCTAAATACAGACTACCCACTACAGCCAGTGTATGGGTCAGATGCTTGTGACACGGTCAAAATAAAACAACAAAAATAAAGTCAACAGAAGATATCTAGCCAATGTTCCTCTTTAAATAACATATCACCAAAAATATAATGGTATAATGTAAAAATATTAACATTTTGAGGACCTAAATGTTTTCAGTTTTAGCAGAATTATTTTGATCCAGCTAAAAACAATGGCATCCTTGACAACCTGAACGATATTATCATGCACCCCAGATAACTATTTTTGGTCGTTTACGTACCTTAATTAATATTTTCATTTTACACGGCCTTATACTAAAAGCTGAGTCAAATTCAGAGAGAAATCTCCAAATGGCTTTTTATCATTTACATTGAAACAACGATGATTTCTTTATTTTTCCTCTCCACGATGTTTATGGCAAATGAAGACCGATTGGTGGGAATGGAAAGCATTTGCAGCAAAGAAGGATAAAAAAGTTGATTGATTGACAGATAGAGCAGACAGGTTTACCTACGAGTTTTTAGATGATTCTGCTACGGAAAATATATCCATTCTCTTCATTCTACTCACAAAACAAAAATTCTTTGCTTTCAAAGATTAAACAGTATCCATTTCTTTTTTTCTTTTTTTGGATAGAATATGTTGACGAAATAAATCAATAGTGTTAAATGCTTTAATTAGAAAATATAAATTGAAGTGCATTTAAAAAAATACAAGGTGCTGTACAATAAACTATTTTCCTACAAGGTTATTTAAGTATTGAATCAAAAATAATTTGAAATAAAAGATCAATTCTTTATTAAAAGGAAAAGCTGTTTCATATATCAACTATTGATAGTTCAAATTTAAGTTTGACAAAAATAACGGGTAGGGTTATATACTGTGAGAAAGGGAATACCACGCTATCAGCACCATTGTCTCAATTCTTATCTTTGACAAAATATCTTACTATTATTTTCATCTATTCTCGTTTGAATGACCTTATATACCAATATATCTTGTTGGGCATTAACTCCAGTCTGGTACCCCACAGATGCACCATCATTGCATTGCAAATGACATAAGGGTAACAGGTGACGAGACGTTGCAACAGAAATGGATTAAACACTGGTAAACCACAGACTTGGAAATATCAAAAAAATGTGGAAAAAAATATACGTTCGGTTCCTACTCTCCAGAATCATTAGGTGAGCTAAATGCTGCCGCAAAAAATCGATCAATCTTAAACAATGTAATTACTTGAGTATCTTGAATTTATGAATATTTATCAGGAACTTCTTCTGAACGCATGACCTCAATTCTAGGTCATAGATCCCAACCTCTCATAACGTTTACCATACTTTCCCTAATCCTCTTATGCAAACTTGAATCAAACTCCTGGAATCAGAGTCTACAACATTGGGTCAAAGGTTATTGTGAAACTTTACAGACATTACATTCAGCAGCACATTCCATTGCACTCTCGAGCTCAGTGTACATATTTATTGCAGTTCACTTTACGTATGCACCAAAGCCCTCCAGGGGGCGCTCTTCACGTAGATTTCTGCGATGCTAGAAGGCAATGGAGAATTCTGCACAAGAGCTTTTCATCAAAGTTCAAAACTTTGTCTTCTGAGTAGCACACATCCACTAGAACCTCATTTTGTTTTTATCTTTTTTATTTTTTTGCTGTGCCATATTTCTGTGGCACCATGACCTATGATTCACCACAAGAGGACGCTGTTGTCCGCGCAGCAAAACAGGCAGCCCCTTGCTTCTCTCAAAATCTCATTCCAACTATAATATACAAGTTTCCATGCAACCTCTGTATGTAAATATCTCCCATCTCCAGTATTAACAAAGTTGAAGGGTCACAGTTTCAAAACCGTGACAACAACCTAACTTTGGTCCACATTTTTTTTAACCGACTTTTACATCCAAAATATCAGACACCATCAGGAAAACATCTTTGATTGTTTAATTATTCGTTTCCATCAGCAAACTCCTGGTGGATCGTATACCGTTTACTGATTACACTGATAGTTTTATGGAGTGACTGACATACCAGATGTTCAGTGGTGGCACTGATGTTGCGTGTTTCTCCCATTGCTATACCGCCGTTTCGTGGTCCTCTGATAACATGAGCTGATAGCGTTCCCGGCCTAGATGATACAGAGACAAAAACAAAGAAATCATGCCAAGGAAATAAATAACATCCTCCAAAAAGAACGCTTTGTTTCCATCTAAACAAGTTACCAAGAATGAAATTGTAAACTCTGCAGCGTATTGCCTGTATAGCGACAGCCATGACTTAACACTATAGTAAACTGTAGACCTCTAATATGATGTGAGGCAACACACTTGCATCTTCTGGAATTTCACTAGTTGCTATAAACTGTACTTGGCAAACACTTTGGTATTTTCCACAGCTTTTAACACAGAGCCTGACTGCCTGAATTTTGTATTCATTTTTTTCATTTGTTACTTTTTTTTTTAGTGGGGCTTCCAGACAGGGTCGGCGGTACTGTCGGGAGCCCAAAATAGGTTCTGGTGGAAATCAGAACCAAAGAATAAAAAAGGGATGCCCTGTTAAAGAGGTTGATTGCCGAACGTCACTTTTTTATGACATAATGTTAAAAGTGTAGAGTAGACCGATATCAAACAATGACACAGCCCCAGTATATTTATGAAAAAGGTTCTGCCAGAATTTTTTTTTTTTTTTTAATATTTCAGGTCAATCCAGTCAGTAAGCAATCTGCAATATTTGTAATATACAAATATTAAATTCCCTCAGGACTATTCTTGACCAGAGTAGCAGCATTCATCGGTTCCTTCAGGCTAACTTTGGAATATCTAGACTTTTTTGATGTAAATAGTACTCGAGTTTCCAATGAGTGACTGCTGTTACGACATACATGCAGCATTTAAAGCCAACACCAATGAGCCAGAAACTTCTTGCCGTTTTATCATTTGTTTGCTGGCCCCAAAGATCATGTGACGGGCTAGACCATGAAATACAAATCTCAAAAGAAACTTTTGATTATTTATACCAGAAACAATTAAATATATCTCAAGCTACAATCAAAGTCTTCAAATAATGATGCAGATAACTTTCAGCAATCAATAACCTCTTTGATTTTCATTTACAGTGTATTTTTGCGTTTTTTTATCTTTCTATTTTTGGGGGGTTTATTTTTGTTTTAACTAATCAACCCCGTTTCGGGAGGTTAACTGTGACTTTTGTACTCTGTGCTGGCTTGCACAATCCGCAAAATATTCCTCTGCAAAGACTTGGTGTGGTTTCTTGACTTCCAGCCTATTACATGTATATCACTTCATAAACACAGCTCAATGAAATTTGCACCACGCTTTGCATGTTAAACTTTGACACAATCCCATCCTAACATTTTGCATGAGTTAAAGGTACCAAAAAAACTTACCATCAAAACAATTTAATTTGTGGAAAAAAGATTCTACCTGTATGCAACCTGCTTGTAATAAACTGAGTTCTCATGATGTTATATAAGTAAAATTTAGGAAGTTTAAGAGAACAAGAGATCACTTTTTTTTGGAAAAAAAGTTGTCCTTTTTGAATTTTTTTGATTGATCATCTTTGAGTACATTACAGCTTCTCAAAAAGGCAAATGGAACATATGTTAAGTTTGCATAATTCATTTTGTGGTTTTCATATTCAACTCATTTTAAGCAGTTTACATACAGTGGATTTCTTTTTTCCCTGTTATTTACCATGACAGAGGGGAAATAATGTCAGTGCAGGTGGCAGGGTGTTTGTGGGGGTGTTTGTCAGGGTTGGTGGTTGGGATGGTCAAGGAGGGTCAATCTAAACCATTTTTTTTTTAAAAGCTTAAGTAGCCAACACGAATGACTTTCATGCATATGAAATAAGCAGTATATGGATGAATTCACACACACACTCTCAACAAACTCAAATGGTCATCATCATCAAGGCAGGCAGAACATGGATTGTCTTATCTATTCATTTTTTTTTTACAATGAGGTGATGATTCAATTTAATTGATTGGATGGACTTGTTAGATTTCTTGCAGTGGCGTAAATCTGTGCCGGCGATAGGGGGGATGGGGGATGACCACAATCCAAAAATTGTCCGGCCGTGGAAATTCAAAAAGCGGAAGGGAGGGGGGGGGGGGGGGGGGGTTGGACACCGCATTACACTAGGGGACGCTCTTCAGGATATAGATGTATATCAATACAATGTATGTATACTCGCGCTTGCACCAAAAAAGTGCAATTTTTAAAGCTTTTGTACTTTGTTTCTCCACTTTTCAGTGCTATTGAATACATACCTCGAAATCAGATTTTTTTTTCATCACGAAAAAGTTGGGGGGGGGGGGGATGATTCAATAGCCCGAACCCCCCCGTCAAAAAGTGGGGGGGGGGGGGGGGGGGGGAGGGGATATATACCCCCGTCCCCCTAGGATTTACGCCCCTGATTTATTGTCTGGTCAAAATGTATACCACATTGTCAGGCAATGCTATTTGATATCATTCACTTTATTTCTTCAAAAGAGGTTAAATGAACATGTATTTCACAATGCTTACTTTTCAGTTTGACACCAAGACATTCTGAACCATAACCATGACACATTTTTTATTTGGCATACATTGAATCTCATCCAGTACATTGAAAGACAAAAAAAATAAGTTTTAAGCATTCAATGCAAGGTACATGAATGCAAGGTACATGCATGGCGTTGAACCTTCCACCTTTTCGGCTCAAAATGACAGGGAATTTTCTCGGGTCATATGAATGGGAAACAGTCATGCCAATGAAGTACACCAAAAAAAAAATTACAATCATTTCAAAATCAGAAAAAAAGAAATGACCAATGAAAACCAACCACCAAACCCGAAACCAAACTGATCGCAAAAAAAAAAAAAAAGACATGGGACACTGATTTATCCACCTGCCTGGGTACGCGAAACGCGAATGCTCTGTCGCTTGGCCTTAAACGTCTGAGGACGAGGTGGATCCCTCTTTGGTCTTACTTTCTAGGTAAGCAGCCAGTTCCAGGTCGTCGGCTTTCAGTGCCTGGAGCCGGGGGGTGTTTCCCTGGTAGTCCGTCTTGGTTAACGAGGCACCAGCTTCCACCAGCATGGCGCAGATGGTGCGGCGCATGTACCACGCTGCTTTGTGTAAGGCCGTCTGGTTCTTCTCAAAGTCCACCGCGTCCAGGATGCTTACAGGGGCTGTGGGCAGGGGTGGAAGTGATTTGTTAGCGATATCCTAGTAAGTCAGGGACAATGGAGTACGGATGTGTGACGGCATTTAGAACCAGAAAGTGCAGTGCAAACGAATGGAGTATGCGCGCGTGTTGGTTCACAGGCTGAATCACTAATGTCTTTCACACACATTTTGTGCACGTGACGTATTCACTTCAGTACTCCATGTCATGCAGGAGCTAAGGACAGATGGTATTTTTGCTAAGCGATGACCGGTTACCAGCTGAAGCGCCATACAATGTGTAGTTCTTCTGACTGGTTCTCAGCCAATTTTGCAATAAATTTGTAAAGCATCATCTGCCATGAAACTGAAACTTGGAGTCTAGTGCAAACATGGGTTTACAGATTTTGGGGCAAGCTCAAGACTTATGACTGCCATTCTCTTTATAGTAATTTGCTGCCATTTAATGTCAGGGAGGCATTAGTGCATCACGACAGCTTAGCGACATGACATCCTCTGGGTCAAGTTGGATTATAAGCATGCACGTATAGCTACATGTAGCATATTGGGGCTTGCTTGTGAGCTCAGCTTATGAAGGTACAGGACAGGAAGAATTGTTACAGCTTGCAGAAACAATGAAGAACACCATATTGCCGGTGCCTCATTCTATAGGTTAGGTTGAAAAATCCGACATTTTATTTTCTTACAAACTTCAGTTGTATTTGGCTAGTTATAATTGACATTTCACTGAAACAAGAAGTGGAATTTTAAAAAAGAAGACTTTGGGAAGTTTGTACTTACCGTTTTCAATGAGATACTGGACAATGTCTTTGTGGCCGAATCTGGCCGCATGATGGAGGGCGTTCATCCCGTGCTGGTCAACGGTCATCAGATAGGCACCCTTCCGGTGTAACTCGGAGAACTTGGCCACATCGCCTCGCTTGGAGACATCCATGAGTGCTGTCAAATGCAAAATGTATACCATATAATTATTTTCATAATTTAAAAAAAAACCCGGGATGAAACTCAAATGTAGCACGGTCAGAACTATTTCAAGGTAAATCACTATCCAAACCAGAAAAAGTGAGGTTGAGAAAGACAAAAAAGAGCAACAGTTTATCTAAATAACAACTCACTTTTGTCCAGGGGATTGAGATGTGCCGTGTCGGAGACACACAGAGTGTCCCGTCTGGGTGGCTGGGGAGAGCTGTTGGAAACTATGGCCTCACAACTGGGGAAAGAAAATAACCAGAACAACATTCACATCGATTTATTTTTGGAAAAACATCAGCGCATGGATACGTGGCATCTTGCACAGTTATAGAATAAGACTAAAATTTGACATGTTCCCCTCAACGTGCTTAATAACTTAAAACAAAACACCATTTCAGACTTTTCACTGAACACATCTTGGTGATCATTACCACTACCGGTACATTAACAAGCAGTCAAACTTATCTTGCCCAATGTTTTTGGTACAATTTCATTGAATTTCATTCCATAAACTTGTGTCCAACATTTCATCCTGCACTTCTTTTGGGTGAATTTTAAGGCAATAATTTGTTTAGTCTTAAATCGCAACAATTGCTGACATGTGTCCAGCCACATAATCATCACAAGAAGTGAAAGCAACTATGTCTCTGAGACTGATATGTGATATTAAACGCAACAGGTGGCATTTGGCCAACAGTGAACTAAAATTTCTATAAAGTAAAAAAAAAAAAAAATTCTTACTTTTCCATGCACAAGATACTGTCTACAAACATTCTGGAAGATGATCTAGATATTCTTTCTCGAACCTACGTTCTTGATAACATTCAATATAGGATTTTACTGAAGAGAAGCCCCTTTACATGTTTTAATGTACAGATAATTTATAATGTTTTAGGTAATTACAAGAACAAATAAATTGAGAGACAAGTAGGAAAAACACATTTTTTCTTCATAGAGACTCCCATGCAACATTCATTTCCAGGAGGCAAAAGTGACATTTTAAAGGACAAACTATGAGACCATCCAACAAACTGAGTCCATCTTAAAGAATATCTTAAGACTGTTAAATATGCACTCGTAGTAGTCTATCTTCCAATGTGGGTCATCCTTTAAAGTTATCGACCAAAGTGCGACATTTTCCTGTCCCTGTTACCTTGGTGCTGTATGACTTACCATTCAAGTATAATTAAGAATGGTTTCAAACAATTTTTATTTGTTGGGTTGCTATTTATAATCACTCTTAGAGGACGACTGCATTAAGGAGTGCATCAGACTTATAAAATCATAGAAGTATCGGGGACAGACAACAAAAGTGGACACCAAATGTTTAGAATGACCAGCATATTGGCTATGCTGCAGTGTTGCAGTCAAGTCTGTCACAAGCCTGTCACAAATTCTCACAAGTCCACAAAAGTACATCACAAGTAAATCACGAGTCCTAAGTCAAGTCACAAGATATTCAAATGAACTGTGACAAAAGCTTTGCTTGTTTGTTGTTCATCCTCTCGTGAACAGACTTGTGAATGGACTTGTGATGGTCTCAACTACAATTCAGAACCATAAACTTGTAACGTCTACGGATTTAGCTGGATCCAATCAGAAACAATTACATGCTCAACTTAAAAAAAAAATACAAAGATCAAAACCAAAAGGGATTAACACTTGCAACAAAATGCACATTTACTCCACAGATATTTCCAAAACGCAAGCAAATTTAGATACAGGAGATAGCAGGGAAACGGAACTGAAAAATACTCACAAGCAGTTAACAACCGAAAGTCACAAATAACGAAAACCACCAAAATGAGACAATTGGAAAAACCGACACACAAGCTCCAATAGGTCTCTCTCAAATGACTTCACTTCCTGCAGATTATCAAGTGCATAGGCATTTTGGATGTCAAATCTTCATGACGCGCTTCGGCTGCGCCTAATTTCGAAGAAATTGCGAGCAACATGCGCACATGTTTAGAACATTTTGCACACATGCGCACACACACCTGATGGCGTTGAACACGCAGTTGTAAATTTTCCTATCAAGTTGGTTGTCTATGAGAGGGGTCTGTAACAAAATTTGAGCAGACACAAGCCATGCACACCTCGAGCTGACTGCCTGAACTAACATTTGCATATCATGAATATTCAATTGTAACAGGCCAATTTGCATATACACAACCATGCATATTCATGACCACTGATGAGTACCTGCTGCTAGTGGCTGGTTGGTACTCGTTTTCATAATTAGTATTCTCAGACAGGATGCCAATGGCGCCCTCGTGTAAGTTGGGGATCTCGTCCTGATCCGTACTATCGCTATGGTAACAGTTAGAAAAGGTGACAAGCAAACAAACCACAATTGTGAATTAAAAAAACCAATATCACACGTTAGGTTAATCACACACTGCAGTGGTTAAGATTTTCAAAGTTTAATGCTGTTATGCCATAGCTGACCAAATATAGCAGCATACATGTATCTTGTTTTTTAATAACATCAAATTCCCAAACAGTGAAGAGAGTTCTTGTTTTGAGTAAAATCGGTCATGGTCCATGAGCCAATAAGCTACTGTACTGATGACGTCACACATTGCATACATATGTGCTTTCTTATGGGAGCCTCCTGTGGACAACGGTTTCGTAGCCCCATAGAAAAGCACACACATAAACAAAGTGTGACGTCATCAGTACAGAGGCTTATTTGCCATTAAAATATGAATTATGTCTGGTAAACGAATTTTCCACACTACAAATTCAAAGATTACTTTGGCAGACTGAGATCACTGTTGTCATGCTACATGATTCTGACTAAAGCTGTGTCCAAATTACTTGGCTACAGCTCGCAAAATATACATGTCCTCTTGGTAATTGACAGTAGCAAAATTATTTGGACGTAGCCAAAGCAGGCCCGTCGCCAAGGGGGGGGGGGCAGTTTGTACTGTGCCCCCCCCAATGCCCAGAGCTGGCGACGATGCTGAGCCAAAGTTCCAACAATCTCCATCTCAGGAATGATCTGGTGTCTGTGTGCCATTCTAATCCACAGTGATTAATGTTAATCTTATGATACTGTATATCTAGTACCATATTTTTTTTATCAGTTGAGCAGATAAATTTTTAAACAAACGCCTTAACTTCAATGAAGTCTGTATATATTATTGGGTTTTGCCCTTCACATATTTTTATAAACACTGCATACTCAGTGTTGTCCCAAGTGATTGTGAAAAAAAAAAATCACTCAGGGTGAGTAAGCAGGAGGTCATGGGTTCGAGTCCCATCCGAGTGATATTCTCACAATCACTCGGGACAACACTGATACAGTGTTTATACAAATACGTCGGTGAAGGGCAAAGCCAAATATTGAATTCACAGTACCCCGACGCAAATTCCATCTTATGAATAGAGGTCTGTATACCAGATACATTTCCATCTCAATTCACAAATGGGTCCAGGTCACTCACGGACATCTCAATCAAAACCATGGGGTTCCACTGCGCAGAAATTGGAAAGTTCTTGCAAAAAAGCCTTTCAAACAAGATGTTGCAAAAAGAAATTTGGAAAATTATTAGACAAGATTTTTTTTTTTCATCCTACCTCCTTGCCTGGAGCAGCTGAGCGGCACTGTGGGCCTGAGGCAGCTTCAGGATCGGCGACGGGGTGCGATTGGCCGCCCCCAGGACCTCCTGTTGGACCAGCAGGTCCGGCATGGATCCAGACTTACTCTCAGGAGAGAGATTGGAGGGTTTGGTCCGCTCGGGGTCCAGCACGTAGAGGTCGTCCGATGAGATGTCCGTGATGTAGTGAAGGTGCTCCTGGGACCGGTCGATTCGGAAGAAGCGATCGGCCGTGGTTGCTGTATGGTGAGATGCAATGAAGAGGAGGAAAATTTAGGGAAAAAAAGGGTCAGGTGATAACATATGACTGTAAATGGAATTGTTGCATCAAATTCACTGGTCTCTGGGAGCGTAAAAACTTATGGGACAAATTGTACCATGCATGAATTTACCAGGTTTGTTTTTAAACACAGATCTGCGTATTTTCTTTTGACTTGATGTCTTTTTAATTCCCTTTGAAACAACTTTTAAAAAAACTTTTAATCTTTAAGCTACACAGATAAAACATACCCTATTTTGGTGGTCTCCTAATTGGAGAATATTTGTATTTGTTTGTTCGAAAATGTAAGTCTATCGCACATGAACCAGACAGCAACATGTATTCTTTAAATGACCTCTGATGCATGCAAATGACCGTCAACTTCTAACCAATAATACTCACAGTCCAGACTAGGTTGGGACAAGTTAGAGGCGGAGCCAATGTACCTACATGACCTTTGACACATGCAAATGACCGTTTAATTCTAACCAATCATACTCACAGTCCAGGAAGCACCAGGTTGGGGACAGGCTAGAGGCGGAGCCGTTGGCGTTGGAATCCTGGAGGATGTAGACCTCTAGCAAGCGATCAATGTGGGCACGGATATGCTCCAGGTTACTGTCGCTATCGACGACAATGATGCCTAGCGGTACAGCTGTGGTTGATGGAAAAACACATAGATAAAATAAAATGTATCCATATGTTTGAAATATTAGAAAGGTTTCAAATTTCAACTGTTAACAGCCTTTCAGATTTTTTTGCCTTGTGTATGCCTACGCATCCACTTAGCAATATGGCACCCTTAAAATCAATGCATCCATTTATCGTGATGACAAATTTAGCTTCTTACATGCTTTCTTGAGCTTCTCCTTATCATAGTTGAGTCTTTCGTAGTCGAACATGCTGATCCGGCTGACTTGGATTCTTAGCCTGTCGTTGGACAAGGGCGTACTGAGGAGAGATAAAAAAAAACCAGCGGACAGAAAATCAAAAACTAGAGAATGGATGTGTACAACCATTTCTTCACATGACAATCTCTGCTCCCTGGGGAGTATACAGCTTATGCTGCCGTATGAACACAAAGGACTGAATTCATATTAATTGGTGGTGTAGTTGAGTCCATCACAAGTCCAGTCACAAGTAAAAGGGGATGAACAACATTAAAGGTTATAAAGGATTGTCCTTTTCTCAGTTCATAGATCTTATGCATGACAGCCATCTTAGATGGCAATTCTTTTGTTATGCTGGGATATGCATGAGGGAACCTTTTGTACATTATGATAATACTACTTTGTACATAATAACCAATACCTGATACAATGTCTTTAGGCGAAGTAAAAAAAATAATTCTCGTTCCCGCCCGCTTCCTTTATGGAGGCCGCCTGGATTTTTAAAATATTTTTTATTTTTGAAAAATGCAGTAAAAAAACACTGAAAAAGTCCACGGTTAAAGCAAATGCATCTAAAACTGTTCATTGTAGACCAATACAACTCTAAATGACACTGTAAATATGTCCAGTTCTCTTGTCCAACTTGTCTTTCATTTTAAAAGTGTCTTTGAACAGTGGAAACACCAATGGTTGCAGGAAATTTTAAAATGGCGGCCATCTTGAAAAAATAAAGAATAAAAAATAAAAAGCCCCTCTTCCTCCTTTTTTTGAAAAAACCCGGACGAGAAACATGTTTTTTTTTATTTGGCCTGATACCAATGGTCTCAAAGTGCTTCACAACTATTACTCATATTCATCAGGCCACGAGACCAATTTGTCTGCAGTTGCTCCAGATCAACGCAATCTGGCCTCTACCTTCACAGGCACCCATTTATACGCCTAGGCGGAGAGATGCAATTGTATTAAATTGTCTTGCCCAAGAACACAAGCACCATGTTCCCTGTCAGGGTTCATACTCAATTAACACGGCACGTGAGTCTACATCGTAAACACTGGACCACAGCGCTCATTTAATGAGATGACTCTTAGGCAAATTTTCTGTGAGGCAGCTTCGAAGCAATTGCCTATCACATTTTACTATATAATCTGTGTTGTTAATAATGTTTCCACAGCCAATCTTTCCACTAGCAAATTTTGAAATTTCTGTAAGCTAATATTATAGTTCCAAATACTCACTCTGTATTGATAGGCATGGAGCCTCTTCTCTTTGGTTTCAGCACCATGTTGGCCTGGTTGCGTATACTGACATGGATGATGCTGGGCGCCAGCCTGCATGGTTCCCCGTCTACCTGTACTGGGATCATTGCATTGGTGATGACTTTGGCTTCCCGACATTGGCAGATGCGTTCACCGTGACCTCCGACAAAGAGAGCAGCCTGTGAAAGTATTCAATCAATTTAACCAATTAGCACTTGAACTTACATTGTATTACATTGTATTACATTGCATTTATTCCCTGCTGAGTCAGTAACACCATACAGTGCTATGGCAAATTGGGGCAGCAAGTGGGGTTAAACAGGTATAGATAGACCATTATTATGTTGCGGCCATCAATTTTTTTTCCATTCAAATCAACGTAAGCAAAGTGAGGCTGGAAGGAAAAACAGTCTGGTTCCTTTTTTTACAAAAAACTTTATCATAGAGTACTGTTATTGGATACAGGGAACATGACTAACATGGTGGCAACATGACTGATTTTTAGGCCAGCACAGGCGATTATTATAACACCTCACCCACTGATTCTGTATCTTGATTGGCCGAGATTGTGTCACGTGGTATCACTATCTTGCTGTGCACGGCCAAATGTACTATATTGGTAGCAATCAAAGTACAATACGCATAGCAACCAGTATCGTGTGCAAAGCATTGCGCGTTTTGTTCCCAATCGCTAGCGCTATAGAGCTGGGTTCAAAAATTTCATAAAGGGGTGGTTAGGAAAAGTTCAAGCAAATTTCAACGAATTTTGTTTTGCAATAGAAATACACTGTAGTTGTATTAAGATTATACTAATCAGTTATCTCTTAAAATCAAGCACAATTTGTTATAAAACAAATATTGACTGCTTATATAACTCGTGGTGTAGTAAAACTAGCCTCCCTCAATGATCCATGGAGCGTTCTATTTTCCCTCCATGGATAGCCATGGGAAGCTATTTTTACTACACCACTCAAAGCAGTCACTATTTGTATATTATGCCATGGAACATAATGTAGATGAATATTTATGTTTAAATCACCTGAAGCAAAGCTTCAATCTCTTGACAGTATTAAAGTATTATATGCATAGAATCAACAATGCAATTAGAGGTTTGTCGGCACATAATGGAGCGTATATGTTGCACGCATTCGTATTACACACTTAAGACTTTTGTGCAAATACTTCAAAAAGGATAGTTTGGAAATTTACGAGAAATTCTCAAACTGAAACAGATGTACACATTTCTTGCACTAGCCTTGATAGTAATAATAATAACCGTAGTGCTTATAAAGTGCTTTCCATCATATCAACAATCTCAAAGCACTTTACAATTATTACCATCATCAGGCCATGAGACCACGCGGCAGCCGATATCAGCGCTCAATCGGTCTTCGACCCTCACGGGTACCCATTTATACTCATGGGTGGAGAGAGGCAATTGTAGTTAAGTGTCTTACCCAAGGGCACAAACACCATGTTCCTGGCAGGATTCGAACCCACGCACCATCTTGCATGAGTCAAACACCGTAACCACTGTACCATGGCATTCAGCTCTAGTAACACCAGTCAGATAAATGATCTGAATGAATCCATATTGGACGTCCGTTCACTTCAAATGCCCTTACTCACCATTTGTGACGGTGAGAAGCCAATAACTTCCAGGAAACCATCGTCGTGTCTCTGCTGCTCAAAGGTGTGAACGCTGGGGTTACCCCAAGGTGTGTTCCCTGATGCATACCTGTGAAAACAACAAAAACAACAACAACATTAACAAATGTTGATTCATTAGTCTGACGAGGACTCGTTTAAAACAAAAGTGGATAGAGCCACTTTGACAGGAAGTCAGTAATTAAAACGTCTTCTGTAAAAGAGTACCATTTTTATACAGGTTTTGTGCCACATTTCTGAAGAAGCTCCTTACTTAAATGAGTTTTAAGTATGATTGCTTGCGAAATTTTGATTGCTAGAAAACCAATGGGAACATAATTTCCAAGATGAAGCACACAAACACATGTATGCTAACCTGTTCACCTCAAATCGACTTCCAAATGGACTCGGTTTTTCTTTGCATTATCTTGCACACAAATTGAGTACTCCATCTCCCTTAATACAGTTAAAAGTAAGAATTATTTTTGAACGATTTCACGCACTCATCCGATACTGACTTTTCATCATTCTCATGACAAAAAATTAAAAAAAAACAAACCAAAAGTTGAGATGAAAGCAAAGATATCAATTTGAAAATAAAACCGGAAGATTTTCATGATGAAGTTGGCAATAAGAGTTCAGTTGCATCGTGTGATATAGAATCACTTCTGCTGATGTCTCCTGACGACAAGGAATGTACACCGTCAGAAACACTCGAGTTTCCCCCATATCTTTTCAAAACCACAGAAACTCACAAAAGACTTCACATGAAACAGTGCAACCACAAATGTACTATTATTAATCATTGTACAACTCACTTTGGTATGTTGAGGAGTAGTATACAATGGGCTTTCAACTCCAGTAGCTTGCTGGTGTAGTCGATTCCGTCACACTCCAGCATGATCTGTTTGGTCAAGTCTTTGGAGGTTCGTTTCAGGAGATCCGTTCCCCCTGACCGAGCATAGTACATCTTGTTGCGGAATCGACTGTTGAACTTCTCTGGGTTGGCCTCTGTACAAACAATATTTGATAAGGCAATGGAGTCCATGTGCAAGTACCCCCTCAAGAGTTATATAGTAAAAGTTGGGAGGGACCACTGCAAGAGACTCTTGGGGTGCGTTTGAGCGTGCTACTCCCGAGTGCGGGAAAATGTTGCGTGCGCATTACTCTCGGTGCAGGAGTATACTCCCGGTATGGCAGAGAGCATGCTCTTGCTAACCCGCGGGTCGTACTCCTGCCGTTCGGGCGCTCAGGACTATACTCGTGTTAACAGGAGTAGCACGCTCGAACGCACCCCTGAACTCAGGGTCGACAGTCAGTGCATGATTCTGCTGTGCACATTCAGAATGGGCCTAATTCACAAGTCGGCCATATTAAATTGAAAGCGAGGTAAAATCTTCATTTTTGAAACTTGTGAAGAGAAATGAAAGCAATGAAATAAGGTTAATTACAAACTAATACCAGTCTGCTCTGATGAATAATTTAAAATTTGTTAACCATGCCCTAATGTTTTAAGCCACATTTAAAAAAAAAGATAGTGAGGCTAGAATGAATAAATAGTCTGGCACCATCCCATTCAACAGTTCACAATTTATAAAATATATTCAGGGAACACGAGCAAAATGGCTTCCTCACGAATAAGGTCGATAATTTTGTGTACATCGCGCCATGAGCGAGCGAATCTGTGCGCGTTTATGGTGTGTCTGTCTCAGCTTTGATGATTAAACTACCTCATATTAGTCACGTTGGTTTTCTTTTAATTTATTTTATTGAAATGCTGCTTTTTTTGTAATGCTATAAGTGCCACATTAAAAGTGTTCATCCATATTATCATAGGGTGCGTTCGAGCGTGTTACACTTGCTACTACCGAGTGCAAGAAAATGTGTGAGCATTACTCTTGGTGCAGGATATACTCCCGCGGGTCATACTCCTGCCGTTCGTGTGCTCCGGAGTAAACTCGTGTTAACACGAGAAGCACGCTCGAACGCACCCCCTATGACTCAAATTGATGGGTAGAAGTCAACCGAGGACATGCAAAGCACCTTGAGAACTGAAAACAAAGATTTGAGTTGGCTGAAGAAGTTGAGCCTGCACAAAAAAAAGCAAAATTCCAAGAATTAGCAAAGTTCAAGAGGAGGACACATTGATGGAAAGCTGCCGCGCATGACATCGTTGAAGCAAATCAATATTATTGATGGTCACATCACAGAAGGTATCTACTAGGTGTTTATCCAGTGAAACGGCAACAATTGAGATTCCGCCGTGTTATCTCAACACTTGAGTCTTTACCTCTGGATTCGTGGAAATCGAGTGCCGTCCGTGCGTCAGCCCCGAGACTGAAGTAGTTGTTGAATACATCGAGTGGTCCATTATTGTCCGCCTCCCGATCCTCTTTGGTCAATTCCACGTCGGGGTTTTTATCCACTGTCAAATTCCACCTGGGAGTATTTGGTTGTACAAAACAGAAATTTGCGCACTAAAAATACATCCTGCTTCCTTTTATCAAAGAGAGCATCTTTCAAGTCATTCAATTCAAATCCTTCACACTTCACCTCATAACCCAACATTCCTTCGAAAAGATAACCAACCCATATGGGTTCAAAAAGTCAAATGTGAGTGACTTGGACAGTTTTCAAGTGAAAGTTGAACAATATATGTGGTTCATTGGCTTGCTCACCGGGTAAAATGCTGAACACAATTTACTTCTGAATTTAAGTGATGAAAAGCTTAGTTGTCATTGATCATCTGTAAACAACTCTTCACTTCTCACAGACTAAAGACGAGTTCATAATTCAAACTAATGTGAATGCACTGTGAATTGAAACTCCTGAAGCTTTGGTTGTGAAATTTGCCAGGGTTGAAATATGTTCAGCCTTTCCAATTTGAAACTCCAAAACTTGCCCTCATATCCACAATTTGTGTTCAGTGTCCCATATACCCCAAGTGTGAAACAGCCTAGAAGCAAGGAGCACAGAAGAATGAATATTCATCGCCAACAGCTGCTGTGATTTTAAAGGGGGGGGGGGCAGGGCTGAGGAAGTTTATTTTTACCTGTCTAGCTGTGTGACTGGTCCCTCTTCTACTTGTGTGAGAATTTTGGATATTGGTTCGTCTGTGTACCCCTACAACAAACAAACAAATCTGACATAAAAAATCTTGATGATATACATAAGCATAAATATCACTGTGATAAACTACAATCTACTTTATCTTCAAGTAAACATGAATCCTCGATCCCGATTGGTTGATCCATGGCAACAAGCCGTGCTACATATAATCGTGTAGCATGGCCACGGTCCATAATGCACTTTGCGTATTGCGCTATTCCAAGATGTGCGCGCCATTTAAGTACATGAAAGGTTCGACATTTGAAACAGCTAGAAGCATCCGCATTGAAAGATTGGCTGTTGAAAGTTTGGCTGTTAATTCAATCAGGGCGGACCCAGAACCAAAATTTCAGGGGGGTCAAGAGGGCTCGAGCATATGGATCCGCCAATGGTTGATCTTACCCTTCCCCAGTTCATTGTCCTGGCCAGGTCGTTGCCAGTTCCCAGTGGGAGCACCGAGACCGGAGGAAAAGGCTTGAATTTCAGCTTGTCGATTTCAGACAGGATCCAGCCCACTGTGCCGTCCCCGCCGCATGCTAAGATCCGAAGATTGGGCACCTTGCGGAAGATCTCCAGCCTAGTGGGGGAGGGGGAGGGGGAGGCAAATTGAACAGAGAGGCAGATGTTAAATGGTTTTCAGTGTGGCACCCATGGCCTCGATGTCAAGTATAAAAAAAAAAGTTTTGTGAAAAACTTATTTAGAAGAGTTATGAGCAACTCTCAAGCCTGTTTAGGTTGTTACAGTATTTCAGTCCTTGCCTTCCACATCTCGTGACCCAAGTTCAAATCCTATGTAGTATGTAGTAAATCTGGATTCTTCTCGAACATCACAATAAAAAAAACCAGCCATATGTCCTTCATGTTATCTCGTCTTCCAATTCCAATGCATTCAATTGTTTAAAGAAGGATTCCTTACTATGCTAGAACAGAAAACCTGCTTTTTTTATTATCCAAGTAAGTAAAGGAAGAAGAACTGATTTATACTGTCTTTTGGTACGAAATGTTTTAGCTACTTCCCCCCTTTTTTTAAAACCCTTTTTAACCTTTTACCTAATGCTTGATCATGGTTTTATCTTTCGTCAAGTACTAGTCGACCCCCCCCCCCCCAAAAAAAAAAAAACCAAAAATAGTCTGGCAATGTCCTAGAAGCTATGGCCATTCTAAAAGTGATTTCCATATTCACTTTTGAACTTTCTAACCCAACTATTAACAACTTTTTGCAAGCCAGACCGAACACGACATAACATGTGACTTACCCTTCCCTTGGTCCACCTTGCGACAGATCAAACACCTGTCTGGGATTCAGCAACCATTGGAATTTTGACATCAGCTTGGTCCCCTGAAGATAAAACAAATAAAATAATTAAAACATAAGGTCTTGCTGAAAACCATCACAACTTATACAGTTGACAACAGCACCTTCAAAACAAGATCTGGAAAAGTTGAAATGCATTGCAACTGCGTGGTGCAGCAGTCTTAAACGTCTGGTTTAAAATTGGTTAGGATGCCTAGTCACCAAAATTGACCAGGCCAAAGGAGAGGGCCATTATTGGTGGCCTGGCGGAAGTACGCCGTTCCGTCTTTTCGTGGGCCACCCTTTCTGCCTTAAATGTGGCTGAAGAAAAATAGGTCTGAAAAGTAGGGTTTTTTTGTTTGGGGGGGGGGGGGGTGTCAGGGATGGGGTAACAGCTCTCCAAAGCTGACTTTTTTTTTCTTACCTGGTTTCCTCCACTCTTTGGATTGATGAAGACAATAATAGGTTTCATCATGGGTGACGGGATGGGTTTGATGATAAACGGTCTCATCTTGCCTTCCTCCTTCTTGGTGATGGACTTGCGTTTGATGGAAGGCTTCTTCTTCTTGCGCTGTGAGGACTTAAAAGAGCCCTGTCCCCAAAATAACAAGACAAACACAAATTCGTCTCTACTAGTTTTTCATTTTAAAAAAATTCACAGTAGGCCTTGGTCTCGTGGTCTGCAGCAATGAACTCACAGTCTAAGGGTAATTCTGCAGGTTGTGGGCTCGAGTCCAGCCTGTTCGAGTCACTCATTGCTTCTCCCCACCCAGGAGTACATTGTAAATGGGTACCTGTGAGGGCAGAGATGGTTATTGTGGTTGATTTAAGCTGCTTCGAGCTGTTTACTCCCCAGGGAGATGAGATTGTCTTTGGAATGTTTCATTGGCCCGATAATCAGGGGTAAAAATAACATAAAGCACTTTGATCTAAGTTAAAAGGCTATACAAGTTCCTGTTATAATTACTGAATATATAATGAGGGCACTCAGTGGAACCATACTATTTTCTAGGTTCAAACAGAAGTATACCTCGTTAATGGAAGCAATATGGTAATTTATTGTACTACAAATGTAATTCTGTGAATAATACCAACATGTTAACTTAAGTCAATAAATCCTTGGATCCATATCTGTTCATACCCCAACCATAGACATCCTAAAAGACCAAGACCTGGCATCCTGGCATTTGCCTGAAATTTCTGATATTACAAAATGCCGTGTCCTATAACCTCCATGTTACGTGAACGCTCACTGTGGGCACATGAACGCCCAAGGGGACGGTCGTACGCCTTATTTACAATCAGAACGAGCATTCCCGTAACATGGCAGTTATAGGATGCAGCATTTTGATATCAGAAACACACAAGGTAACAGCATAGTCATGCAAGGTCTAGGTTTTTAAGATGTGTGTGACCCCAACAGAGTATCGTAATGGCGCCCTCAACATTCAATCAAATTAAGGCCTATTGAGGTAAGATCCTTGGCACTGGATCATGCTTGACGCATAGCATCTACATCCAACCAAGTGCGCTGAATGAGTACATGTAACCATTTCAAAGTGCCTGTCAGAGGTAGCCAATTTACGTTCAATTAATTATCCCTCATTTGTAACTGCTCATAAATACAATGTAATAACCAATTTATAATTAAAAGCTCCTTAAAAATGTGAAATATTTGAATCTAAAAAATCCAGTTTTCATCCATCATCAAAAACATTCCAATTTGATATAAATGTACTTCAAAATTCTATTCATTTCTCAATTACATGGAACTTGTCTCACAAACAACCTTTTTAAACAAAACATCTCAGAGAAAAAAAACAATCTTGAACTCTGTCATTAATCTTACAGGAAGCTACCGGTACTGATACAATTCCAGCATACTGACGCACACGGGAAACAAAACCATCTAAATATCATCATCATCATCTAGCGGTCACAACCGAGATCTTGTTGTCTCGCCACGCCAGTTGTCTAAATATAGCAGGTGAATTTGTTCGCCTATAATCAATCTTTATCCGGGTTCAAGTCCTCCTAAGTCAACAATTGGATTGAGTTGCATTTGCAATCCCATCGCTGACCAGCCAGTACTGTTTTCTTCTCCCCCAAGATAATTCGCAAGAACCACTTCCTTCTGTATGTAATCGGAGATTTTTATTTTTTGGGGGTCGTGCGAGAGGAAGAGATTGCCATGGTAATGTGAGAGTTTTGTACCTGGATTCTCTGTTTTGGTAGTCTGATGATCCAGGAGGGCGGGATGATGATGCTGGCATGGATGCCTAAGGAGCAGGGCTCCTCGATTTGTTGCATCATGAAGCACGCCACCTTGTTGTGGTACTGAGGAATAAATACAAAAAAAATTATGTTTGCTGGAAGTGATATATTTGCATCAAGAGAAAAGCTACAGTTGTAATCCAGTCAACCAAAAATTCAATCTTCTTCTTTTTCCTTGCAAGTGCCACCTTCATATGGTTGAGGATACACGCACTGCCAGAAACACCGGGGCAAACCCCTTTTCTTAGCAATAAGTGTTACTGTGTTTTTACGTGCATTGTACAACGATGGCTTAACATCCCATCCAAAGGATGAAGCAATAATGGTTAAGTGTCTTGCTTAAGGACACAAGTGTCAAGACCAAGACTCGAACCCACACTCTGCTGATCAGAAACACCAGAGTTTGAGTAACAAGTCAGAAAAAAATATGTCTGCAGAATTCCCTATCCTTATCCTGGTGTTTTTCTCTCTTAAATATAAATCTACCCCTTTCCACCAATAACTGTGATGAGATCTGTAGGAATATCCCAAGGTATGAGTTTCTTTCATTTCTTACATCCTGAAAACTTCTGGTGTCAAATTTTCCTGCTTCTCTACTTTGATAAGTTTTTAAAATAGAGCAACAACATATTTCTTATGGTAAGATAAGCTTTTTTTCTCTTCTTGGAAAGCCTTTCTATAAATTTTCTATAGTATCTCACAAGATGCACAGCCATCTAGCCTTGTACTTGGCGCTCTCCAACAATAGAAAAACAATTCACGACAAGAAAGCAGAATAACTTACAGCCACTTTGCACCAGGAACAGCTGATTGCGATGATCTCCTTCTGTTGGAAAAGCTTCTGTTGGAAGCTCTTGCCGCACTGCTTACACTTGCCATCTTGCCTTCTCCTGTGCACCCAGTGATGGCGCACAACCTGGTTCTCCCTGTAGTTGCGGATGCCAGCATCCCGAAATGTGGGCTTGCACTTGAAGTTTATCTGCGGAAGGTGTAGGGAAAGGAAAGGGGGGGGGGGGGGGGAGAAAAAGAAGTGGGTGGGGTTAATGAGTGGATGCCGAATTGATTACAGGAAGAATACAGTCATTGGACATGCCAGAAGTGGGCGGAGTTAGTGGACTTGGCCATAAGCCCCGCCCACCTTTGATTGTGTACATTTCTCACGGTGCTTGTGACCCACTTTAACTAAGCTACTGTGGTCACCTGACCAAAAGTCGTGATCTGATTGGTCGGTTCACACTATTTAATTGACAGGCAGGTTCAATTGATGAAGTAAATGTGAACAAATAATGCAAGTTTGGGTAAGTGATCAATAGTGATTTTGTTGATTTTTGCTGCTGCTGTCTGTCCATGTGGAATTTACTAAAAACATCTACTGTCCCCAAACAAAAACAAAAGTTTACACTCACTTTTGCTCCCGCATTTTTCCCTCGCAAACCTTTGTATCATTATAATTGATCATTCCATTATTAAAATCACACACCACCTTAATAGTAAATATTTATTTGGCCAAAAAAAACTGAAGGGGGGGGGGATTTTTTTTTTTGATTGTCAGATTTCTTAATCCCACAGTGGGGGGAAAAAATTGTCAAAAATCAAATGAATTTGCAAGATTTCTGTTGCATGCCAGTACAGCAATTCAAATTCCTATCCTTGCCTGCCAGAATCACAACATTTTGTAAATGGCATTTTTCATTTCTGAAACGTTATTTCCCCGAGAAACAGACACACACTTACTCTTTCTAACTGAAGCATACACGCTGTGTGAACGATGATCTTGCACGCGGCACATTTCCGCCTTGATCCCGTTTTCTGAAAGGGAGTAAAGCTTGCATGAAATGACGAACCACGACACACAAGACTGAGATGAGGCACATGCACAAACAAGAAGGAATCAAAGCAAGGCTCCACTTACACACAGAACTGCATACTTATTTCATAACATCATTCTCCACTTACAACTTCACCTCCCTTGTGTGGAAGTTGTTCACTAAACTACATGTTCTAATAGTTACCAATTGTAAAGTATGTTTCATGCAAGCATGCACAGAATGACAATGGGAAGGATATGAAGAAAAAATATGCTTTCACTATACATACATCTCCTGAAGACGATCAGAGCATACTGACCGGAACGTCGAGTTTTACAACCAACCGGTTCTTTTCAGAACCACACATCTTCTCAAAAGAGATTTTCCACATGCTGTAAAACTTCATTAGTTCATACCACCACCATGCAAAGTTTCAAATCTTACATTTAGGCCTATATCAGTTCTGATTGTCAAATCTTGACCTAACTTAACATCCGCTGCGCTCATGGTGTACAATACAAATACTATTTTTTTTTTCTGACAAGTTCTGACAAATATGGTGAATGGTCAGAAAATAGAAAATGTCAAATTTCAAACCACATAACTTGTTACCCTCCATATGTAGATGTGCGCATGTACATGTACATACACATGTATGCACATGCAGTTGCACTCAAACAGTTTCTACTTATGTATTAAACAAGATACCGTAATTTTCGGAATATAAGCCGTGCAGAGTATAAGCCGTAGCACGCAAAAATCTGCAAATTAAGATTTGAAGTCGGCGTATAAGCCGCACTGGCGTATAAGCCGCACCGATCGACCGCAGCAGTTTCAATTTAGTAAGACCTCTAAATTCTAGTCAACATGCTCTGAACCAGTTCCATTTACAATACGAAAGCTATACAAAGGGCCACCAAAGTTATATCAAATCATGTACAGTCGATACTCTTACAAACAAATATGGAAATTGATGACGAGAAATATAAACACTGGGAATTGCTGCCGGCTGGCCCCTCCGGTCCCCGGCCTAAAAGTTAGCTCGGTGCGGTATATTTTCATGGGACGTGCTTTCGGTTTGTTAATGACTTTCTTAATTGATAATTCATTTCAGCAACAGATGTTTTCCTGTACCAGTACATTAAATACTCATTTGAATCTCATTTTTATTCTTCAAGGCTCGGCATATAAGCCGCCCTGTGTATAAGCCGCAGTAAACATTTTCATGGGCAAATACAACGTATAAGCCGTGGCTTATATTCCGAAAATTACGGTAATGCTTAAATAACGTGAAATCTGGCAATTTCTATGCAAAAGTCAAAGTAAACCAACTGAAAAGTAGAAAATTTATGAAATCTTCAGAAATACAAGCATCATCTACTCACTTATGTTATCAAATTAAAGGGTACAACAAGGCCTCATACTTGAGTGGTGTGCCAGTTAGATGGGATATGAGTGTATTTTTTGTTCTAAAAAATTTGTTTTGGGGTTAAAATTATGGATATTAGGTAGTCAATTTGGCACCTTGTTTTCACATGCAAAATACAAGTGTTATTGTGAGATTTTGTTAAGGCAGAAAGAAAGTTTGATATTTTGTGCCAATAGAGCTTAACTGAAAAACACTTCAAACAGATTATTTTCTACTTTATAATGTGATTTCAGACATATACGTCCGACAGCAATAAATGTACGTCTGGCACCCATATAATGCCATTTCTGCAAGTTGCAATCAAACACACACATGCATGCTTCGCCATGAAGTGTATTCATTAGTAAGTGATGAAACTACAAATAGGAAAAATATTGATTCAACTCCAAACATATCATAGTGTTTAAAATATATTTGTCTGAATACGTCCGACATCATACTGTTTTGAGCAAATTTCTAGTACAGCTAAAAAGTTGGATGAATAATTCCCTTTCTAAATCATTGGAGTTACTAACTGATAACTTTTATCAGAATTAACATCCATTTTATGATTATAACTTTATTTATTGTCCAAAATGTATATTTTGTAAGTGTAAATGTATTTATACTCATTATGCCAATAGATCTAGTCTCTACCGACCACATGTATGCTTGCAATGAAAGAATATTTTACTGATGTATGTATATAGCACATGGTGAACAAAATAGGTTGTGGTACATGGGTACATCTTATGCGATCTCATACCACAAATAAACGACCCAATCAAAGATGGTAAAAAAAGAAAGGAATTGCATCAACCAGAGTACATATTTTATCAATTTTAAATGCACTGATTGAGACAGCTGTTCACTTAAATGTTCTGCAATTAAAGGCCATTACTTATCAGCAAGTCCAAGTTTGCCAGCCCGCAGTATTTGGCTTACTTCAGATCCTTCTTTTCAATGTAAATTTTTGGGTCAGTCTTCTGAAGAATTTTGTTGAGTTATTAAATTTTAATGCACTACACGAGACAGCTGTACACTTAAATGGCATGCAATTAATATAAAGGCCATTATCAGCAAGTCCGAGTTTGCTAGTCAGTATTTGGCTCAATTCTTCAAATCCTTCTTTTCACTTAAAATTTGTGGGTCGGTCTTTTGTTGAATTTTGCTTTTTACTCCTTTTTTCTTTCCAATGATAAAACAATGTAAGTTTTCAAAAGTGAGTGTCTCTCGTTATGACAATCGGAATGTTAATTAAGCGTAAGTGTTTTCTGGGTCCCCAAAAAGCAAATTGCAAGTCTTTGAGTTTTATTAATGTGCAAGTATAGAAGCATTTCATCAACTCTGCTTTGTCATTTCTGCCAAGGCAGTCAATCAAACACAAAGAAGGCCCAATCAACTCCATTCTTGAACCATGATTCCATGAATATTAAATCCAAGGTTGCGATAGCTACTGAATCAGCTTACACGTGTGTGTTGCTAGCTTGCGCTTGGCAACCAATTTCTTCTTAATAAACGATCTTCAAGTGCATGCAGATGCATAAGGTAATGTGCTCTCCAAATTGGCAAGGCTGCATGGAGATACATGATGGTGCAATTTATAGGCATCTTGGGTATATTTCTTGTGCATGTACACTGAGTATCCATATGTGACGGTACATGCACACGTACACTGTACAATGTATATCAAGGTACATGTACAATGTACCGGTATGTAACATCTTGTGACAAAAGTGACTTCAAGTATTTTTATAATTACATTTAGATTCACAAACAACATGTTCCGGTACATGTGCAAAAACTACCAAAAAAACAAAAAACTTGCTAATTATGTTAAGACTGCACAGTCGATAGAAAGGGAAAACTATGTATATTAAAAATCACGTTAACATTTCAAAACTGAGATAAACCCCGACATTAAGCAGTTTGCAGCAGTTTAATTCATTTTTATGTTTAAAAATCAGGTTATTTCCCCCAAAATAAGGGATAAGAGACAAACACGAGTAGATCTTAATAAGTGTGAGCAGTGCTAAGGTACATATGTAAGGAAGCCTACAGGGCAAGAGAAGATAAACCAGCTACTTTTTGCGCATTTTGTAATACAGCACCCACACTAACAACACCGCTTCCTCACACACTTGGATTAGCCTACTTCATGCATTGCACCGGTTCCATTAACATAATCTATTACTTCCCCACCCCACCCCCCTCCACAAAGCTTCCGTTCTTCAGCAACATTGTCTATTTTAGGCCCTTGCGGATGAGGAAGATCTACACGTTTATAATTGAGGTGGAAATGACAATTAATTGGAGATGAAGGTATGGGCACATTGTGTTTACTCATCATGCCCGGACCGGATATTAGGAGATTTGTTTTTAGACACTGTATACATGTACGTACATTGTTCTATTATAAACTACCACTTAATATACGTATGAAAGACGTCACTTGTCAAAAAATATGATCCATCAATGTTTCAAAATTGCCGACCGGTAATAAGCCTCCCATTACCACAGGGGACTTTTCATAGTCAATTTTACTCTATTATGTGACGTAATTGGTCAGGGGAAGGCAACGACAAATTAACCGTGGAAGAACACAGCCACAAATAAATGTCAGTGTCCTGAGGGCTTTTAAACTGTGAAAACAAGAATCGTGCCATCGTCACAAAATGGGGTTCTCTACATGTACAGATGTACATGTACACATTTTTTTTGGGCAGGGGTGCAAATTGTCCCTGTTATCCGACAAATGTGATTTTTATAATTCTGATGCACTTTTAACCAAACTCCCTACTGTCTTTTACCAGGGATAAATACTGGACCAAGTCTGCCAAAATCCATCAATCACATTGCTTCCAATGCCTGCTTTGCTTTAAGGCCTCCAGGCCCAAGACAATCATACTCCATCAATGTTAAGTCACACCAGGCCTGCAGGACCAAGTCCCCTAAAATCCACCAAAATGAGGGAATGGATTTTGATGGAGTAGGGTTAATGCAGTTGTCCTCCAAGAGTGATTATGAATAGCAAACTACATGTACATGTACCTATCCAACAATTTAGACATTGTTTGAAGTCATTCTTAAAGGGAATATACAACATTTGCAAACATCGAAAAATAAAACTACCAAGATTTTACGAAATACCTTACTAGGATGTTGATAAATGACAGTGGAAAGCATCCTGTAAAATTATGGCACCTGGTGTGAAGTAATTTTCAAGAAAATAGTATTTTTGTATAAATTTCCAACGGTGGTCGGCCGACCACCGTTGGAAAAACCTGACTATTTGTCAACTACTGATCTAAATTTACCATTTTTTCAGTCCAAATTTTGTTTGCTATTGGTTGCATTTTTATGAATGGGTGCAGGTAGGCTAGACTGGTTCCCTTACCTTACAATTTTTCGGCATCTATAAATATTGATCTATTTCATCTTGAGTGGAGTCAGGGAACCAGACTGCTTAAACATTTTAGTTTTTCTTGGTTTTTCCAGCATTTTCGAACACAAAACTTCAAACAAGTTAGTGTAATAATATTTGATCTATTATACTAACCCCTCAAATAGTTCATTTCAAAAAATTACAGCAAAAGCCAATGATGTACATTCCCTTTAATGATACTTGTAGTACCAAGGTAGCAGATGGACAGGGCCCAATTTCACGGCGCTGCTTAACAGTTAGCAGAAAAGTTGTGTTTAGCATAGCAGAAAAATTTGCTAACCTTGAGCACTATTTCACGGCTTGGACATGCTGACTGTCGCGCGTGCATGGAGATTTCTATTGTTACTTCACTAAGTTAAGCAAATTTTTCCTCTGAAGTAAGCATACCTTTTGCTGTGCTTATGCTTACGGTCTCCATGAAATAGCCGGAGGCTCTGTTAGCAGAAAATCGTGTGCTTAGCAGCGCCGTGAAATTGGGCCCAGAACATAAAAAGTCATACATACGACCCTAAATTTAGAGAATGACCCATGTACAGGCAACTCTAGATGAGAGACTCAGATGCAGCCTACAAGTAAGCCTGTAATTAAACTGTCTCCAAGATGACACAACATGCAGCAACAGACATGCTATTTCATAACTTAAAACGGCATACAGAAATACACATGCAAGGTGTGAAAAGTCAGATGCAACTTAAGACAACCACCAAGAGCATTAGTGTTATCAGTTTGGGGTCAAGTAAAAGGAGGAGGAAAAATTGGGACGTTATTTCACTTCAAGAGGCTAGCACAAATAAAATGAAATATTTGAAGAAAAAAAAGTCAGTTTTGAAGTTGCCGAAGGACTGACCACAAATTTGACAACTGGCTTACTTACATTTAAAATAGCAAGAATAGGATTCCTGCTTAACTGTTGGACCCACTGTCACTTTTCTAAACACCTATTCCGAGGAACCTTTCAAATGTTTTTATAAAATTGGATGATTTCTTATATCTTTGTCCAAACTGCCAAATACTATAATTTATGGTTTCAGCAGATATGACGTTTTCCTTTGCCTTAATAAAACAAAGTTATTTTTTTTATCTGTAATTCTGATGAACAGGCGAAATGTAAGTAAAAACAGGAAACCTGTCTCTCTTTTGATAAACAAGTTAAAGCATTTGTGGACCAGTCATTTCCCCATTTCTGAGAAAATGCTCCCACAGATGTACCAACGTTCTCAAATTCCGGTTTCTAGTACTCCAAAAAGAAAAAAAAGAAAGGAAAAGAAAACATAAGAAGTGATGAACAGGAATGGACAATGCAGACATGATGGTGACCACAACAAGAGGAAACATCCACAGTACAACAAACATCTTACAAAGCTACAGATAGACAGCGATATCGAAAAAGAGAAACACGTACTGATGACAAGACATGACAACGCCCTCCAAGGTGGAACCATGTTGAACAATTCTGTACCATATTTTTTATGACGTTTCCTTAGGCATACAAATTTACCAACAGATATAACAGAATTGCACGTACTAGACCACTAGCTGCAAGCAATTTAGATAGTCGTCAGGTGCATTTTTAACACCCTCGGGATCAGTTAAAAGATTCTGGTTAAAATTTTTTTACGAGAATTGTATGTCAGACACCTGGTGCATGCATGTATAGGAGAAGTTGAGCCATGATTTTTACCAAACAAAATATTCTTATTTCTTTTTTTGGGGTAAGATTTACTAAAAAGAAGATCCCGTAAATATTTACACAATCTAAACTTTCTTTTAAACAAAGCTGCGACAGTACTTGAGGACGAGGTTTTGCTTTATTTTGGAAGAAGATAAATGGTGAAGGAGTGGCGTTATTTTGCTTCTTGAACATTTCATGATTCATAAATAAATTCAAATATCCATCTCTGTCAAAAAATAAAATCCACACTGTTGATGACACAGGCACATAGGAATTTGAGGGATGGGCCTGCACTAAAAATAGCCCAAGTTGTTTGAGATATGGTCTACTTATAAAACACGCCCGGGCCAGGCTCCACCTTGGAGTACCAGACAAGACCAGCGATGGAAACGTTTGGATGGACACTTACCCAGTACTGACTTACCAGGCAATCTTGTTCCCCAACGTAACAGAAATCGCCCGAAGCATTGGTCTCTGTCCAAATATGGTCCCCGCTGATCGCGTTCTCCTGCAACGGTTCCAGGGAGAGGTGGCAAAAACGGGGAACCAGGAATAACACGAGCATGTTATCTTAGTGATTCATGTGCTCGCGGATGCTTTTCTTCTAAACAGGGTGGCGGACGTTGCAGCTGAAAAAAACTTCCTCGACTACTTTTGTTCGAGGGTGGGGAAACGGGGACACGACCTACATGTTTGTCTGAGATGTACCCATCCGTCTACATGCTTGATATCTCAAAGGAAAACTTTTGATAATCCAACCATCACCTACCCCTCTCCTCCTTCAAACCCGTCATGCAGCAATACCGCAAACCTGACATCCTTTAAATTTACATGTAGGCAAAGCGGCATTTCAGTTGTCGTTCTGCAAAGGTTTTCAAATTGCATGTGGCACATGTATTCATTTTATGTGTGAATAGTGGTTAGTTGTGTTCCTAAAATATTAACTATTAAATAAAATCTTTTGATTCATCCACACTTCGTTCATGCAGACAGTCAAGTTTACACATACTTACTGTACTTGGTTACGAGGAAATCCTTGTAAAAATTGCTTAATAGCTTGCCATTTCGGGGTTGAATGTTACGCACTTTAATACGTAACTTTTGTAATTAAAAAGACATCTGTCTATAGCATTAGGATTCAGAGTGCAAATCTGACTCAAATTAGCATCTGAATGTCACCCCCGCCAACTCCCTGATCAAACTAATTTGTACGTAAGGTGCTCAAGTTTTATAATTTTATAACACTGTGAGAGACAAATTGCAATTGAACCTGTCAGTCACTGACTGTAAAATGGTAGTAACCAGTAGTTTTGGGCGGAATGTGCGGCAAATTGAACTTACGCTCCAGTCAACGGTCGTTCTGATCTCCTTCTCAGTTGCCGTGTAGTCCCGCTGGGCAGGCAGATGGTGGGAGGGGAACCCGTGGAGGTGACTGGCATACGCATTAGACTTGGAAATTGCTTTCCTACAGGGAATAGGCGAGAAAAAGAAAATAGAAATTCCTCATTTTAGTTTTGTTTTGCTAAGACTGACTTCGCATCTATTGTGGAATGGCACCTCATTTAATTGCGCATTTGGTTTTCAACAAACGCCGTTTTTGTCTCCGGTGTAGTTTTTAGCTGCAAGATCATCTCCGTCCATTGACCTATCTCAAACTTTGTTATTTTATAGAGTACATGTTTCAGTACAGAAACAATGAAAGATCAACAACAAAGAAGGAATTGAGAAATAAGTTGCCTTTCAGAAAGACACTGCTAGCATTTCAATTTTCCGGCCCTCTTACTTTTACAAAAGATAAGAGGTGAGCATGACCAATCACTGAGAGAAAATCACTAGAAGTGTTTAAATCTTGATACGTGATATAAAAATCAGGTTCTCTTCAACCAAAACACTCATTCTCTTATTATACATGTACATGAATGTACAGGTGGGAATTTTTAAATCTTGAAATTATTTCAGTCTCTGCTCCGACGTACTTAAAGCTATCTGGTCGGTGCGGGAGCCCTGAGGGCAGCCCTGATGGCAATCTTCCATCGGTCTCCGCATCGCTGTCTGCGTCCCGCTGAACCGAAGGCAGCGGTATCCCCGAACGCTGCAATGCCGTCAGGTCCAAGGAATGGGACCGCGGCTTCATGCGCTTCATAAAATAACTGCTGCGACGAGCCATCTTGCCGCCGCGGTGTTCTTTGGCGTGGACCGCTGCTGACATTACGAACTCTCTCGCGTCACCAGCACTTGGGGGGGGGGGGGGGTGTTGAATAACGCCGGGTCAGACGGGGGAAAACAATATACGTTGCTACTATTGTAAAGACGTCAATTCGGAATCTGGTCGGCGCCGTTAAGAGCTAGACGAGTTGCATCCTTTACGCTCAGACAACACACTATACTTGCACATCCACGACACAACAAAAACGGCCAATAAATCTTGGGGCATCTTACGCCGCACCGAATCCGTGTCAGAATTGAACATGAAGTATTCCTGCTATGTCTTGAAGGCATTAATCAATTGTGAAAAACAAACAAGACGACCCCCTCAAATCATACTGGTCTCCCTCTCCTCTCTGATCAGCATATACATCACTGGCTGTTGCCTAGGTAACCGACGACCTCACGGTGGTATTATTTTTGAGCGATGCAGGTTATGAGAAATCTTTTCTCACAATCACAAACTGATGACGTCTTTGAAGGAAGCCTGTAATCAGAAGTTCAAGTTCGTCATCTCTGATACAGATACATGTAAATGCCAACTGCAATTCTCTCAAGATACTGGAAAAATGTGGAAAATTTAATCATCTTCAAAGATATGATACGATCACAGTTTCATGTGATTGGATGCTATATTCTGACACGTAAATGTAAGAATACAGCAATATGCACTGTACATGGTCAATGTAAAACATCAACTGAATCTAAAACCCCAAACAGCAGTGGTCTATCTAAAAATGTGCAAATGTTATCAAAATACAGGAGTCAGTAAAAACAACTGTGTATCAACCACAAAATATTGAATTTTAAAAACTGAGTGAAAATTCAAAACAAAGTGTCGTGACAAAATATGTTGAAATATATATGTTGGGAACATGACAGAAAAATAGTGTCATTCTCTACATTATCATCTTGTCTTACAGTGCCTTCCAAACGTTCAGACAAAACTATTTGCTATTCCTAAAAACAATTTTCCGCCTGTTTAAGCAAACACATTATGTACCACTATATGAAACTGAACAATGTTCAAGGCAAACCTACGATCCATGGGCTTTCAGTCACAGTCTTCAAACAGTTTTTTTTTTTCAAAATTTTCAATTGTATTCAGATTTCACGCTTTAAAAGCCACAACCAATTCAGATCAAAGATGAGCCAGAACATTTCCGCTCTGCCTGCAAAATTGAAACGAAAAAATTTTTTTCAATCATTCAAGTTTGCCCCAAAATAGCTTCCCAATTGTATACTGCCTTGAATGCGACAAACACCCCAAGAGTAATTTCCGTTCTATATTTAGCCTCGCGCCATATGAGGAGGGAAAGTATGGAATTTTACATTGTCCGACGCGATGGAGATTTCTCACAAAGATCTAGGCTTTTGTGTCATTGTGCAGTGCCTGCCGGAGTCATTCATTTGTATTTTTACATTACAACTACTTCTCATCAATTGGAAGATGGGTACTCAACCCTGACTGCCCTAATTTATTCCTTCACATGTACATGTGACACTCGTGACAATAGCCATACGCCAAATACGTGCACATACATGTACATGTATGTAAAAAAAAATTTTTTTGTACATTGTAAAATTTTTTTTTGTACATTGTAAAAATATTTCAGTTCAATTCAATATCAACATTCATTTTATTAACGTGTAACAATTCCAGATATTGTAATAATGACATGAAGTACTAATCAGTGCAGAATTAGAAGTAAATTTAGGACGGAATAACAATAATTACATGTAATTATATGTCCATTATAAAAAATGACACCCAAGGCTAATACACGTACATGTACAAATTCTAACCTTATTGCTGACAACCAAATCATAAAGGCTGACTAAAAACAAAAAAGGAAACACAAATACATACACAAAAGCCTTATAGGAGGAACAAAGAGCAATTAAAGATTAACGAAGGAACAGAAGAATAACAGCATCGAGTGCATATTACGGTGGACTTGAATGTTCATGTTACGTCAAAACCTACGTCCAATGTGTAGGCAAGGGTGCGGGGGTGGGAAGAGGATCAAGATACTGATAAGGGCAAAGTGGATTTCCTCCAAGAACGGACATGAAAAATTAAACAAAAATGTGCCTATAGCATTTCTTCTGTTGATCAAGACAGCAACCGTCTTTGAATATAAAGAACATCAAAGAATGTCTTCAACCGTATCATTCTATTGAAAACAAGAGAGAACACATGTACTTCTCTCCCTCCGGTCACCAGTAACTTCTAGGTACGTGTATTTTTTTATTGAAATGAATAAAGAAACCTGTGAAGACAGTTTTAGCTTGAAATGTACCTCGACATGTACAAATGTATACCATATAGTTTACTGTTCATGAATAAGTTTTCACTGGGAAAAAAAACCCTAAAATCCTTGATGTTTAAAATAGCCTTGCCATGTCCTGCTTTCGAATGTCAAATTGAATTCCCTTCCCTTTCTAAGTGCTTGAGTATCAAATAACCTCCAGGTGAAATGTCGGTTAATTTTTCTGGTTTTGAAGATTTCCGAACTATTTTTAGCTTCGTAAAAATTCATTGGACGGTTTCGAAGTGCAAATTTCTGCATTAATGCTAGATTGAGATAACTGTATCTTCTGATGCCTCTGAAAACTTCAACACTTTAACGCTAACTCCCTACTGCCTTTTACTAAGAACTGGACCAAGTCCGCCAAAATTCATCAATCATATCATCAGCTTCCAATGCATGCTTTGCTGTAGGCCTCCAGGACCAAGTCCATCATACTCCATCAATATTTAGTCAAACCAGGCCTGCAGGAACGAGTGCCCCAAAATCCACCAAAATGGGGGATGGATTTTGATGGAGTGGGGAGGTTAAGGTTAATAGACATATTTTATCGCACTAAATTTGATCTTTCACAATTGACTTTTTTGTTTAACTTAAAACTTAGATGTTTTCTTTAACTTGTACTTTCAGAGAAAATGTAACTTTTTAAAAACTTTACCGATGGTGTCAGAGAATATTGAAAGTTAAAGTCAACTCTCAAATCGCACAAACAGATACCTAATACATGCACCTGACACGGTGGTTGTACAAAATTCCATCCGGATTGTGCTATTTTAAGATTTTACCATTACGGACGGCCCATCATTCACGCAGCGTCACATGATATAACCTGCACGCCCCGCACACACCGGCCCAATACAGGCCGCTCACAGATAATTTGGCTAGATGCAACTGGTAACAGGCCCAGCTAAATTTAGACGCAGCTGTTTGCAGACGGATTGGGTGGCTTTCGTCTTCAATATATACGGGACCGGGGAAAGATTCCACGTGAATGATCGTTAATGAAGTCTGGGACCCTGTGTTATGTATGCCCAGTGATCATTGAAGGATATTATTAGATCTAGTCTTTGCAAATACATCACAATCAATATTTTCTACATAACTCAATTATGTACCTCTAACCAAATCTGGCTGCCGACCGACTGCAGTTTGTCTAGTCTATTTCTACCACCGCCAATATTTCTTATCACTCAAACTTCACATTTTAGCCAAAAACATCTATGAAAAAAACAATTGGAAAACTATCTTGAGTAGAACTAGGAGAAGATCAATAAATATAAGGAATTTCACGTCCCTGTCTTGAAGTGGTCAGTTAACCTGCTATTAATGATTTTAAAATTAACTTGTAAAGTTTTTTATTACTACAGAAACAGAAATATAAATACCTGATGCATGAAATATACAGGAACACGCAGTGGCCGCACGAGAATCACATATTGTCCAACTATGTTTGTTGATGTTGCCAATTGTTTTTGTGAAATAAATGAACAATTCCATAAAAAAAATGTCCTTTAAATGTTATGAGTTGCTTTCCAATAATAACACTCTCAGGGATTGCATTGATTTCACATCACCACTTTACTTTCTAAAATGACATGAATGAAAAATTGTTCCCAAACAAATTTCATTTAAAAAAAAAATCTATTTACTACATTTTTAACGGATTAAAGCCATGAAAGGGGGATTGAAAGGGCAATTTAATTTTTGTTTCCCAAATTAGGTCCGTAGATCAGTCACAACGTTAATGAGGAAAATCTAGACAGCCATGAAAATGCACAGTTAAAGACACACTCCACACCTAAAACAGTAGGCCTACACTTCACAGGCGTATTTCTGATATGACAGAGCTAAAACATCTCAAATTCTTAGTGGCTTATTCCTTTCCACAGGAACATAAAAGAAGTTCCCCATCTACAGTTGTGCATGAAAGTACATGACGTCACAGGCATGCACTTTGGAAAGAGGTTACTCTAAGTCTCTAGTCACTTGGGATGAGTCCGCGTATGAGTCATACAATGTGGTTCCATTTTGAGTTTGTGTCAAAGTCACTTGGCATTTCCAAAAAACAAGATTCTACTACATGTACGTGTAGAATAAAAAATACCAGACCCTCTTACTTTCAATATGAGACCATTCCAGTAGGAAATTAATTTCCACTTTTGTCCCTTATTTTCACTTTGAAGCACACTGGCACAACATAAACGCAAGGTACACGTACATGTACACGCATACATGTATTTATAAGACCCTCAAACAATACTTATTTCATACCCAAACGAGAAAGAAGTGCGTAAATATCTCTTAGTCGTGATCAAAATCTTTATAACTAATAAATGACAAGAAACATAATATAGGGGAACACTTTGCATCCGTCACGTTAGCAGTTTTTCCAATGGTTGTAATTTTTGTTTTACAGTACTTGAGTTGAAACCACCCAAAACATTTTTGAAATGTGAATGGACATGCAGGCTTATAAACAATGTAATATGTGTTGAATCATTTCTTTCTTTCTTTTTTAATTGTTAAAATCACCCTCAAATTTCCATCCAAAATGGACGGAAAAAGTTACCTAGGTTTTCCGTCCACTGTTTGATGGAAATCTGAGGATAATGTCAAAAAGCAATATAAATAATCAACTCAAATTATCTTTAGCAAAAGGCTGCATGTCCATTCATGTGTTGAAATTCTTCTTTGGTGGTTTCCTGTA